AAATTTTTTTTAATTCAATAATGCATATTTAAATAAATATTTATTTGCACGAATAAAATGTTTTTTTTTAAAGAACTCAAATTTTATTTATACCAAGAATTTAATTATTCATTATGAGTAAATTGTTTGAATGCAAACTATTATTATTAATGTTTCTGTAATTGAATAATTAATTATTTTGTTCACATACAAAATTAATTTGCATCAAAGTTAAACATTGTTTAATTCAAATAAATCTAAATTTTGACTAAAATAGGAAATTATTTTTTTAAAAATTTATTCATTTATAGTTAATTTTCTTATTTGTTTCAAAAAATAATAATTATTAGTAAAATTCTAGTAAATTGGTAAAAATTTCACCAATTTTTAGTCAAATTCCAAGAAAATAGTAAAATTTCGCCAATTATAATTGTTAGTAAAATTCTAGTAAATTGGTAAAAATTTCACCATTTGTTAGTAAAATTTCGCCAATTGTTAGTAAAATTTTAGTGAATTGGTAAAAATTTCACCAATTTTTAGTAAAAATTCTAGTAAATTAGCAAAATTTTGCTAATTGTTAGTAAAATTCTAGTAAATTAGTAAAAAATTCTAAATTTTGATTAAATATAGAAAATTAATTTTTAGAAAATTTATTAATTTATAGTTAATTTTTATATTTGTTTCAAAAAATAATTATTATTAGTAAAATTCTAGTAAATTGGTAAAAATTTCACCAATTGTTAGTAAAATTCTACTAAATTAGTAAAATTTCGCCAATTGTTAGTAAAATTTTAGTGAATTGGTAAAAATTTCACCAATTTTTAGTAAAAATTCTACTAAATTAGCAAAATTTTGCTAATTGTTAGTAAAATTCTAGTAAATTAGTAAAAATTTCACTAATTGATAGAAAAATTCTACTAAATTAGTAAAAATTTCATCAATTGTTAGTAAAATTCTACTATATTAGTAAAGTTTCACTAATTATTAGTAAAATTATTACTTAATCATTCGGTGGATGAGTTTTCATCATTTCATTAATAACTTCCCACTAATTCAGATTTAAAGAGTAAATTTCTTGAACGAAACAAATTTATTCCATAGGTAATAAACATAAAAGTCAATAGAATTAAGTTGCCTATAATATAATAATAATAATAATAAAAATAAATAGTAGTAGAACTATAATATAATAATAATATAATATTCCAACGAGTAATAAAAATAATAATAATATAATATACTTAACAGAATTTATTTGATACAAATAACCGATTACTTGTCTATTATCAAATAAATACTTACTTGATTCAAATAATTTTTATATAATTCAAAGAAATAATAAATTCAAACCAATAATTTCAGTATTTGAAGCAAATACACTGAGAAAACAATATATTTGAATCAAACATAATTATCTTTGTTACATAGTAAACAAAAAATTATTTTTGATTTAAACATAATAATTTTGATTCAATAAAAATTGCGTTTAATTCATTTACAAATTATGTTTAATTCAAGTATATTTTTTTTTTTTATTGGCTACTTATTTTTGGAACAAAAAATTTTTTTTCTGTACAATTTTGATAATAATAATAATATGATTGTTTTATTTTATACGAAATTTGGCATTTGAGTTCGAACCCAAATGCCAAATTTTGTATATAATTAAACAATCATATTAATTAAGGGTTCAAATAAAACATTTTAATATGTCAATAATTATAATAAAAAAATGTGTAATTGAATAATTGACTCAAATAAAAATTATTTAATACAAGAAATTAATTTGAAAACAATTAAAATTTATTTGATAATAATAATAGACAAAAAATCGGTTATATTTGAATGAAATAAATTTTTTTTCAGTGTACTGTTTAACAATAATAAGGGAAAATAAATGATGTTTATTTTATAGTGTATATATGGATGTGTATGTACATATAGAGGACTTTATACGAGTGAACGGTTAAATCCCTACGAGCCATGGCATTAAACTTCTATATAGATTCGTTTACTATCTTTTGCTTGTATGTCGTAACGAACGCAATGTATTATACAATCTTTATCGCTCTCCGACTTTGCATGTAATAAGAAAGTTTCCCGCCAGACATATATACTCCGCGCGTACATACACGTACGACTCTCTGAGAACTCGGCTTAGTTCTTCCGTCGTTCTGTAATCTGCATTGCAATAGGAAACTCTGATCTACTTTTTATTTTGCATACTCTAGTTTCTCAAAATCTGATAACGTCCTCGCAAGCCTTCTTCAAAGGTGCATAATAGGCACAAAAAAATACACACACACACACACACACAGGAAATATGTTCCTTTTATATTTGAATAATTTTTTTTGAAAAATTTTTCTCTTACATATTATGTACCTTTTGAAAAAGAAGAGTTTTTCAAAATAAAATTTTTTTTTTAAATAAAAAAACAGGAAAATGTACCTAATACAAAAATATTATTAAAATAAACGAGAGTTTATTTTTTTTAATAAATAAATAATAAAAATAATTTTTATTAAATATATACCATGAATATTTATATATATTTATATTTCGTTAATATAAACAAATTTTTAGATGTGACAGGAAAAATTTTTTTTTTCCCTTATTTTATTGTATGAACAATAAAAATAGTAACTTTATGTTTGCTTAAAAATTGCGACTCTTTTAATATAGTAAAAGAAAAATTTGAATTGTTACAAATGGAATTGTTATAAATTCAAGAAACTTATTTTATTTCAGAAAATTTCTCTTTATTTTTAATATTCACATTTTATCACTAACGGGAAAAATTTATTAGTCCGACTTTTTAATGTTTCCTTTGAGAGAAATTATGATTTTTAAAGGGAGAATTGAATTTTTAAGTAATCGTAAAAGCGAATTTTTTTTCTTTTATTCTATAAAAAGGGTAAAATAAAACATGAGTATATAGTGTGTGTATATAGAGAAAATAAAAATAGGATATATTTCAGTTTTATGTTTTCCATTTTTGCAATACTGATATTTTAGTTGTAACTTGAATATTCCACGGACTTTATAACATCATTAAAGTTTTATATCACACACTGCAAAACTGTATTTCTCAAAAATATCTATCGGAAAAGAAATGAATAAATGAAAATTATTCACTTGAACCAATATTGATTTTTAATTTAGAAAACAGAATTTTTTTTTTAAGGAAATTAAAATTTGGATTTTTAATTATTAATGACAATGTAGTAAAAATAGTTGTAATACTTTTAGAAATTAATTTTTTTTGTAACCCTGTTCTTTTATTGAGAAATATAAATTTATAATGACTAAATTACTTTAGCAAGTATTTTTATATATTTATTTTTATTATTATAATTATAATTCAATTATTTTTATAAATAATAAAAAATTTTATAGGTTTTAAATTATTTTCATAAGTTATAAAACTCATCGCAGAATTTCAATTATTTTTTAATAAAATTTTAATGGAATTTCTCGAAAAATGTAATTATTCTTAAAAATTTTATTAAAAATCATCAAAGAAATTCAATTATTTTAAAAAGTCTTCCTATAATTTTATTCATTAGAATTTAAATATTATTGTCAATACATTTATAATTAAATATTTCTTAAAAAAATTCAATTACTACTTTCAAAAATTTTAATAATATTCTTGACAAAATTTCAATTATTTTCAAAAACTTTTCTCAATTCAATCAAATTTTTTTACAGAGATTTTATTATTTTTAATGCAATTTTAATCTAATTTCTCGAAAAATGAAATTATTCTTTAAAATGTTATTAAAATTCGTCAAAAGAATTTTAATTACTTATTTAAAAATTTGTTTGATAAAATTCGTTAGAGAGTTCAATTTTAAAAAACATTCAATTCTTCAAAAGATTATTTATTTTTGTATTTAAATAATTGAATTTTCGTAAAATTTTCTAATAAAAATTCATTTAAATTTGAATTTGAGTTAACATTTTAGATAATAATTGAATGTTAAACTCTCTAAATTTGAATTAGTATAAATATTTTCTAATTTCAATTAGTGACTGACTTTTTGCTTTTAAATTAACAAATTTTACTAATAAATAGTCGTTTCTACTAATTTAATAGTAAAATTTACTAATTCAAAAGCAAGAAGTCAGTCCTTAATTTCAATTGGTAAACATTTTTACTAATTCAAATTTATTTAAAAATTTATTGCAATAATTAATTTTTTACAATTCTTTATGAGAATTCAATTTTAAGAAACATGCGATTATTCAATAAATTGTTTTTTTTTTATTTAAATAATTGAATTCTAGTAGAATTTTCTCATAAAAATTGATTTAAAAATGGATTTGAGTTAAAATTTTAGATTATAATTGAATATTAAAAGCATTAGAGGGTAAATTTTTAGAAATAATTGAATTTTGAAAAGGTTTTAGATTAAAATCTTTGAAAATTTGAATTTTTTATACTTTTAACTAACAATTCTGTGGAATTAATTTTTTTTGAGAAAGTTTAATGCGGATTTTTTTTATATTATTTGAAGTTTTTATTTTTTTATATAATATTTAATTGAAGAATTTACGAATAATTAAAATTTCGTAAAATCGAATATTGTAAAGAAATGGATTTGAAAATTGTCAAAGAACTTTTTCGAAAATTATTAAAAATAATCGATTTAAAGAATAATTTTAGTTAAAAATTCTTGTAAATAATAATAATTCTACAAAGGAATTTCTAATTTCCAAATTATAGATTAATAATTAGTGCCTTTGCAATTAGGAAATTTGAAAGAAAAGTGTTAAAATATTTATTAAAAATTCCCTTTGATGAACTAATTAACAGAAAATTTTTTGTCACTTTTTTCCATGAGCACATGATAATTGCTCTTTTATCACTTTTAGTTCTTTTATTTCTGAGAATGACAGAGTCGCGATGGGTGAGCTGATATGTATATTTATTTATTTTATTTATTTTTTTTTTTTGTCTCTTTGGACTTTATAACGAAAGTATGCGATTGTAATGAGATACTTTATGTGTTTATAGATCGTTGAGGCACAGTCGGTATCCGTTAACAGCATTCGACGAGTGCCACTCGAGACAATGGCTTCGTTGACTTTACTACGAGGGGACCAAAGAGAACCGTAAACATTTCAACACGGACAATTTTAAACTGTATTCCTCAGGTGCTGTACTCGCTTTACTCAAAAAAAAAAAAAAAAAAAAAATAGAAAAAAAAACTTGAATTAAAACAGATTTACTAATGTCTCTTCTTTTTTGAAAAGCAAAAAAAAAAATATATGTCAAAGTCAAAAAGGTGTCTTTTCAAGGCACTTTTTTATTCTTTTTATTCGAGTAAAGGATATTTTTTTTCTTATTGAGGAAAAGTTTGCGATTTTCGATTTTTTCTACTCATAAAATGTAGCAATAAAATGTCACAATGGAAAAATCGAATTGTTGCTCATATTTTGAAATTGACTGCTATACGTTTTCTTATCTTGTTCTGTTTATCAATGAAATATAAATCGCGATGGAGAGAATAATGTTTTCTATAAAAGTTTAATATTTTATCGTATTATTTAACATCAGTAAAATAGTGAACGGAGAATTGGAAAATAAAATGAGAATAAATGAAATAAAAATTTGAAATTTTTCCTTCTTTTTCCAATTTTTAAATAATAGTTCAATTTTTCTAATAAATATTGAAAAATAAATTTTTACATTCTTTCTTTTTTCAAAGTTTTAATTACAATTCAATTTATTTTTTATTTAAACAAAAGATAAAAAAGAAAATTTTTTTAATCTTTATAATAATAATAATTCAAGTTTTTCGTGATAAAAGTCGAAAAAAAATTTATATCCTTTTTTCAATTGTGATTTAATTTTCCAATTTTGAAAAATTAAAAAAAAAATAAAGAAAGTTAAAAATTGTAAAATTGTAGAATAGAGTATACTCGAAAAACGAAGTAAAATCGAAAAATAAAGTAAAATTATAAAATTAAGTAAAATTGGGAAATGAATTAAAATTGAAAAAGAAAAATAATAAATTTATTTAACAAATAAAAAAAAATATGTAAAATATATTTTGACACAAAGGTCTCGTCGTACTCACAATTATTTACAGTTCTTCTTCTTCTTCTTCTTTGACATTAAAAAAATTATGTTAAATGTTAACATATGTGAATTGACTTTATGTCTTATAATTAATAGATTCAAGAAATGTTAGATATTCTAGATAAAGTTAATTAATTAAACTCATAACAAACTTAATCAACTCGTTTCCACATTTTTTATTATTACAAAATTTCAAAATTTTTAAAAATTAAGTACATTTAAAAAATATTTAAAAAATACAGGACAAATTTGTTTTGTAAAGGGGTTAATTTTTTAGGTGTTAACTTTTTGTTTGAATAATTTTCTTCTTGAAAAAAGTAGCAGTAATATAGTTGAATGGTATGATAGAATTTTTTATAGAAATCATTCGAAATTTTTAAACTTAATTCTGATTAAAAATTATTAAAAATTGTTCCATGGCATTAAAATTTTTCAAAAGGGTTAATTTTTCCCGTGTTAAATTTTTTTAGGTGTCTTTTCGCTAGGGAACAACATTTTTAAAATTTTTAATTGTGTTTTGCATTCGATAAAAATTAAATTAAAAAATCGCATATTTTTCCAATTATTTATTTAAAAAAATTTAATAAAAAGTTTAAAGCACTTGTGTTTTTAAAAGGGTTAATTTTTTAAGTGTTAAATTTTGTTTCGTTATTTTTCCCCTTGGGTAAAATATTTATTTCCTCCCAAAAATCTCTTTGAAATTCTTTAAATTACATTTTATCAAAAATAAAAAAATTCTAAGAACCAGATATTTGAAGTTTTTTATATGGTTCATTTTTTCCGTGGAAAATTCTGTTTTGGTAATTTGACAAAAATAGTTGATCGATTTTTTTCCAAAGGGTTAATCTTCCCGGTGATAAATTCTATTTTGAGTATTTTTCCCCTCCGGAAGAATATTTCTGTTTCATTTCTGTCCGAAATTCTTCTAAATTTTTTTTAATCATATATTTTATTCAAAATGAAAAAAAAAATTGCAACTACTCAATTTTTTTCGAAAGGGTAAATTTTTTCAGTTTCAAAAACTGGAAGTTATTATAATTTATTTATTTACATGTAAGCAGTTCTTTTTGTAAAAAAATATTTTTTTTCCGTTTGAAGTAAAATTATCACTTGAAAATAAAAAAAAACAGAAAAAATCTTTATTCTAAAAAATAAGAAAATAAAAAAAAATGTTTATGTTTGTTTATTTACAGGGGTGCCGCCTTATTTTTGCATCAATATGTATCTCATCAGAATATCGCACTTTCTCGTGTTCGTAATGCTGCAGTTGTCGCGGGCGCTGACCGGTGATTATGTATGCCAACGAGTAGAAAAGTGAGTTGATAAATTTTTATTAACAAACATTTTTTTTTTATTTCATTTTTTATACCGAAACTCCGTAACATATAAATATACTTTTAAAAGCGTTTGTAACTATCTCATTTTATTCCCTACCTTAACAATTAAACCCAATTTACTTTCGTACATTATAATCTATTTATTTTTGTATTAAAAAAAAATTTTTGCACTTTTCTTCACTGAATTAAAAATAATTGCTTTCTTTTACATATAAATAAACACTATGACAATTATCGGTTTTTCTCTTCTGAATCTTTTTTTCGTCTCAACGAATAACGGTCTTTGTGAAGTCGTTAAATTTAAGTGACCGCTGAGACGGGAATTAAGTCACATTCCAGTCATTGAAAATTTAATGCCCAGTGTCTGTGAATATTTATTAATCCTCGACTGTTATTTTTTTTTATTCTTTCATTTTTGCTTCATTTTAAATTTGGTAGACGATTTCTTCTACTTTCTGCTTGCCATCTTCTTGATGAGAATTATTTTTTCATTTTTAAAGAAAAAACATTTTTTATTCTTTCTGCCTGCCATCTTCTTGATAAGAATTTTTTTTCGTTTCTAAAGAAAAAAATTTTTTAATTTAAAAAAAAAATTCTAAAAAAAGACACACTATTGACATAATTATTAATTAAATTTTAAACTTTGAAGTAATAAAAAATTATACGAATTAAAAAAATAAAATTAGTAAAAAAATAAATAAAAAAAATATAAGTAGTAAAAATAAATGTTTCAAAAAAAAGAAAATTTAAAAAAGGATAAATTTTTCTACTTTACATTGAATAATTCTGTTATTGCAAAGAAAGTGGTAATGGGATTCCTTTAAAGGACAAGAAAAAAAAATTCTAATTGCATTCATTATAAAGTTGTGCTATTGATAATGTTCGTTTATATTTTTTTTTCGTTGAATCTCATTATTCACTTCGCAATCCATCATTAAAATATCAAAGAGTTTTTCACAGGATACAACAATAAGCGTTGATCTTTTTAACGAACTTGAGATTAAAAACATTTTTTTATGTAAAATAAAACTTCTCGTGTAGTTATACGAGATTTTTTTACTTTAGAAATTCAATTACGCCGCTGAAATGTTGAGAGAGTTAACATATCAAGCCTTTAAAGTTTTGATATATATTTTTTTATATGAATCATGAAAATCGTTTTATGAAATATGAAATAAAAAATTTTTTTTAAAAGGATATTATATTTACAGTTACACAGAAACGTCACAGGAACTTTATATGCAACCTGTTGAGGTACACACATTTACCTGGTGCTTTCAAATTCCGCCTAGGTGCCCGAAGACACGGAAGGAAATGCACCAGCGTTGGAGACCAAAAGTGAGTTTGATATTTTTAACTTAAAAATTCACAAAAGATTTTAAAAACAAATTTTTTTTATATTTTATTATTTTTTTTTACATGTCAGGGTTGACAAAAATATTTAATTTTATTTTTCCCTGACTTTTCCCTGATTTCCAGATAAAATTTTCACTTTTTCCCTGACCCTAAAGAATAAATTCTGATTCACTCTAAAAATTATTAGATACTCAAAAAAAATACTTTATTACATTTATTTACAAATTTCTTTAATTGTAAAATTATTCAAAAACATCAATTACTTCTTTTTTAAATAAATATTTAATCATTATTATTTTTCTGTAGGAATTAAAATTCTTCAAAAAAAAGTTAATTATTTACAAAAATCCTAATAAAATCCTTCGGAAGAATTTAATTATTTTTACAAGTAGTAAAATTACTTCAAAATATTCAATTATTTGAAAGAAATGTAATAAAATTCGTTGCAATAATTCAATTATTTTCATAAATAATAAATCGATTATTCCGTAATTCATTTTTAAATCAAAATTCTAGAAGAATTCAATTATTTAAATTAAAAAATAAATAATCTATTGAATAATTAAATGTTTGTCAAAATTGAATTCTCATAAAGAATTTTATCAACAAATTTTTAAATAATTAAATTCTTTTGACAAATTTTAATAAAATTTTTAATTTATGAAAATAATTATAATTTTCCCAAGAATTTGATAAAAAATTTTCTAAAATAATTGAATTTCGAAGAAGAATTTTATTATTCATAAAGATACTGGAAATTTTGACAAGAATTTTTTTTTTAATTTTTGAACATAATTGAATTTTTTGCGAAGAATTTTTATAACTTTTGAAAATAATTGAATTTCTGGAATCATTTGTAATTTTTCCAAAATTTCAATTTTTTTTAAGTATTTGTTTCTTATTTGCTGTTTTTCTTTCTAATTTTCTTTATTTGTTATCTTTTCTTTTCTTCATTTCTTATTTCTTTTTATTTTTTTAAATTTTCAATTATTTCCCCTTTTCATTTAATTAAAGGAAACACAGTCCAAGTTTCAAAACAGTTTTTTTAAATAATATTTTTTTCTAAACAGCTCGATAAATGGATTAGTTGGAATTTACGAACGAGAATTCACTTAAAAATGTAGGTTTTACTTTGACAAATAAAATTTACAAAATAAAAAAAAGTTCTTTATGGGAAAATTTTATAGTGAATAAAAAAGTTTTATACTGTTACTATATAGAAAAACTAAAAGTTCTTCTTGGTATTTTATTCAATAGCTTTTCTCTGTAATACAAGACAAAAGAAAATCTTCTCTCAATTTAATTTATTAAATTTCTTTTTTTAGATTTCATTAAAGTACATAATTTTAAATTTATTAAAAAAATTATTTTTAATTTGCATTGGGATGATTTTTCTAAATAATATCTAATATTTTTATTATTATTCTAATTATTTTATATTATTATTTATTTATTCTCCATTGTACACTTAACAAGCTTATCTTATTATTTTATAATAATTATTATTTTATCATTATTATTATTTATTATAATTATTTCACTAAATCAAGGTAATTATTGCACTAAATCAAAGTAATTATTCCTCTAAATTAAAGTAACTTTTATTAAAATATAATAATTATCTTATCAAAGAGACTATATAAATATTAAAATTCCTTCGATTTGTTATGTCTATTAGACTCACTTTTTCAGCATCTTTTTTTCCCCTTAACTATATAAGTATAACATTTCCTCGTGTGTTATATTATAGTTGCTCGAGTCTTACTAATTGCAGGGAAAGCGACAATCCATTGCTAAGAGCGTCTAATTAAATAAATGCAAAAAAAAAAATAAATAAAATAAAATAAAATCGACAGCAAAATGTATATAAGCGATTGATATCCTGCAGTACAAGGCCGTCTTTCAATCTTGCCGGGAAATACGATAATTGAAAGAAAGGTGCAAAATCGTATTACGCAATATTTTCTTTGATATTCCTCAACCTTCTCAACCTTCTAGAGAATTCTTTATTCAAAATGTCAATTATTTTTTATTTTTATAAAAATTATTTTTATTCAGTTTTTTTATCCATTATTTTTAAAATAAAATTTAATTAGTAAATTTTACTATAATTTCTTCAATTTATTAATAAAATTTACTAATTCAAAAATAAAAAGTCAGTTACTAATTTAAAGTGAACATTTTTACTAACTCTAATTTAGAGAGGTTATTATTTACAGGCAATCATTAAATTAAATTATTAATTAAACAATTAAATATATATTAATTATAACTGTTAATAAAATGTTTTATTAGTTTTCAAAAATATAAAATTGACGTATTAAATTAATAAATACTAAATCCTAATATGGAGATTAGTTAATAAATATTTTCTCTAATAATAATATATAAATACATTTTATTGTATATATTTAATAGGGACATTAGATTTTCGTACAGCATAAAATACGTGTTTAAATAGCTTGCGAGATGAGTTTTACGTAATTAGGTCAATTTAAATTACTGGCAGATGAGAGCAATTCATAACTTTGATAAAGTGTAGTTCAAATAATAATATGGTCCACATTACATAAGCTGGGGATTTATTTATTTCAGCATTGATTACAATCTAATCGGAAATTTACACTGAATTGACGATTTTATTCGATTTAATAAGTAAAATATAAATTTTGTGTCAATTTTAATTATTTAAAAAAAAAATTATTTAAATATAAAATTTATATTTAATTAAATTTTAATATTAATTTTTATTATTATAATTAAATTTAATTTAAAATCGAAAAATAGAATAAAAATCGAAAAACAGAATGAAAATTAAAAATGAAATAAATATTAGAAAAAATAAAAACAAAAGACCGAGAAATATAATAAAAATATAAATTTTTTTCTGTTTTGAAATAAAATTTGTCAAAGTTATTTTTTTTTTTTTTTTTTTTTTTTTTGAAAGAGGAAAATATTTTTAGATAGGGAAGTTGAAAATTGAATTACAGTAATATTTTATGGGAAAGTAATTTAAACGAAATACAGAGAAAATGGTAAAGTTTTCATCCAATGTCAGACGCCACTTCAAATAGTACAGTTCTCAAACCACTTTTGTGAAAGTTGCAAAAAGTTTGTCATAAGATGTTACTTCCAGCATCCGCTCTAATATCTCAATAATGGGAAAAATCGTTAAGAACTTTTTGGTTATATGATAAAACTTATCAGATGCGTTATAAGAGAAAATTTTGTCATTTCTATAATAATGAAATTAATCGAAATGTAAAATGTTTTAATTAAATAAAAACTGTTTCTTCTCAATTCTTTTTTTTTGTTATAAATTTTGATAAATTAATTTATAAATTAGGAAAGAAATTGTAGGGGAATGTAGTCAAGGTTGGCCTACTGTCTAGGTAGGCCACTCGCGTTTTTTTGTCAAGTTCACTAGCGCCACCTACGCGCATTTTTGTCGAAGCTTGTCTTAGTGAAACCTAACTTTTTGTTCAATTACATTTTCGGAAAATCGAAAATTGTGTTTTCTGTGACGTCGGTACAAAAAAAGCTCAAAAAAAGTTTTGTGCATAATGTGAAAAACCATTAATAAAAGATAAAAAACAAATTGAATCGTCAAGGCAAGTATGCAGAAAATTTGTGGGACTCATGGTTGAAAGGAAAACAAAGTAAAAAATCGAATCCCGAAACGTATTTCTTTATGGTTACAACAATTCGGTAATGTTACTTACTGTCAAGGTCGGCCACTATGTGTTTAAAATGCGCAAAGTTGAGGACGAGCTACTTCATTTGCAAAAACTGCAATTCTGTATAACTCATAATATAATTGATCATCTTATTAATATTTTTATTTAATTTTATTAATATTTTAGTGCAAAACTTTTTTTTATTTATATTTATTTTTGTATATTGTTTATTGTTATTATTTTGTTATTTCATTAAGTTACAAACTGTAAACAATAAAGAATCAATTTTCCGTAACTCCAAACATGTTATTTTAGTTTTTAACGATTAATGCCCTTTGAATTTTAAACATGGCCGACCTTGACTGTAATGGCCAACCTGGACTACAAATTTTTTTTTTTTTAAATCTTTATAACTTTTTCATTTTTAAACCTGTCAATTTACTTTGTACAGAAAAAATGTTCCTATTAAACAGGACTTTCCAACCATATACTTCAATTGTCCAAATTCATTTTTAAAAAAAAGTTATAAACAAAAGTCAAAAAGGTGGCCGACCTAGACTATGTTCCCCTATTATTATAAATTTAGATTTGATTATTAATTATTTCATTATAAATTCAAATTCGATTAAAATTTATAAATTATTTTATTATTAATTATAAATTTCATTATTAATTATTATTGTATAAATTTAAATTCAATTATGAATTATTGTATAAATTTTAATTCCATTATGAATTATTTTATCAATTTAAATTCCATTTTAAATTTATTATTAATTTAATTTCATTAAAAATTATTTTATTATCTATTTGAATTTAAATGTAAATGTGAATTTCACTATCAACTATTTTATTCGAAATTTACATTTCACTATAAATTTAAATTGTATTAATTAAAAAATGGATATTAATTAAAATAATCCAGTTATTAATTAGATTTTATGAATTTTTTAACAGAAATATTATTTAGACTAAAATATACAAAATTTTTGTTTATTTCTAAAATCAATAGAATCTAATAGAGAAATTTTAATTTTGATTGTAAAAAAAACTAAATAAATTATAAAAATTGATAATATTAATGTTTTATTGTTTAATTAATAATTAATAATAATATTACCTAGAATTATATATATTTTTGTTAATAAAAGTGAAAAAAGAAAATATATTTTCCATTATTGTGAATATATTTTAATTAATTAAAATCCTCGTCTCTTTCTTATCTTACGGAATTTAATTATTAAATAATTTCACAAGAAGTGGATTATAGAGTTGCAAATCACTTTATATCGTTAGTCTTCTTGTCAAGACAATTAATTATACATTTTCATCGTTTGATGAAATCGTATGAAAATAAAATTCAAAGAAATTCAAACAAAACTTCAATTTACTTAAATTCGTTTCTTTCACTGTATTCAAATTTTACGCATATTATTAATTTCATTTAATTTAAATTAAAAATTCCACCTCTTTAAAAATTTAATTTAATTTAATAAAAATTTGTAAAATGCTAAATTTTTAAAGAGGTAAATTTTCAATTTGTTGAATTTAATTTTAACACGATAATAGTTTAATGGAACGTATCTTAGAATTCTGATGCCTGGTGTGTCTAGTTTAGTCTTTATTATCGAAAATTCCTTGCATTCCACTGTCGTTGGAGAAAAGCGCGCATAGTACGAGAGAAGGATAAGTTTTCATCCGTGCTCATAGTATTCGGTGAAACAAAACGATTTTCTCTTGGGTGTTTATATATATAGGTATAAAAACTATGGCAATAGAAATAAAACAAGGAAAACTACAGTTTTTCAAACGAGCCAGTGAACGTCTTCCTTTGGTACGTGACGAAACTTTAAACGTATCTTCTTTCCTAGTTCTTCAAACAAAAGATGTCTTTTTGTTTCGACAACTTTTCTTTTTTCTTCTTCTTTTTTTTTCTTTTTTTTTATTGTTCCTCTACTTTCATTAAAAGAATCTCTGATTCACATTTACAAATTCCGACATAATGAGCTTTCAGGCAGAAGTAATATTGGAGAGGAAGAAAAATTGAGAAAAAAATGGTTGAATATTTTTGATAAATTTTTTTTTATTTTGGATGTAAACATTTTTTCTTGGAATTTAAATTATTTTTCTATTGTATTTTTTTTGTTTGTTTTTCAGCTAATTTTTTTAGTAGAATTTCATTTATTGTTGTTATCTGATTCAATAAATGAATTTGTAAAATAGTTCTACTAATTAGTAGAATTATATTAAAAACTACTAAATTATACTAAGTACTACTAAATTATAATAAACACTACTAAATTATACTAAACACTATTAAATTACACTAAATATTACTAAATTATACTAAATACTGCAACATTATACTAAAAACTACTAAATTATACTAAGTACTACTAAATTATAATAAACACTACTAAATTATACTAAAAACTACTAAATTATACTAAGTACTACTAAATTATAATAAACACTACTAAATTATACTAAAAACTACTAAATTATACTAAGTACTACTAAATTATAATAAACACTACTAAATTATACTGAATACTATTAAATTACACTAAATATTACTAAATATTTTACTAATGAATTTGTTATTTTTTACTGATTGCTAAAGCAAAAATTTAGACAATATTTTACTAATAATTTGTTATTTTTTTACTAATAATTAGTTTTTTTACTAATCATAATAAAAAAAATGTTATTTATTACTAATTCTACTAAAAAATTTGTTATTTCTTACTAGTTGTTGAAGGAAGAATTCAGACATGATTCTAAGTTTACTAAAAGAATTTGTTATTCTTTTACTAATTATTATTATATTATTATTATATTAATATTATTATTATTATTAGTAAAATAATAGTTATTTGTTACTAATTCTTCTAAGAAATTAGTTTTTTTTACTGATAAACTGAAGGAAAAAGTCAGCCAAGATTTTACTAATAATTAGTTATTTTTACTACTTCTACTGAAAAAAGAGATTTTTTACTAAGTTTACTAATTTTGCTAAAAAATTAGTTGTTGTTTGCTGATTTCTGAAGAAAAATGTCAGTCAAGATTTTATTAATGAGTATAATTATTTTTTACTAATATTTCGTTATTTTTTCAGTAATAATTAATTATTTTGAACTAATTTAGATTTAAAGAGAGAATAATAAAGCAATTTACTCACAGTTGTATATTATACTTGTTTATAGATGTATAAAATTATAAATAGTATATTATATAGTGTATCTTTAAGAGAAATTTACTGTATGATAAATTCGAATCATCAGCAAGAATGAAATTATACGTTTCAATTTTATTTGAGAGTTTGTTCATAAAATAGAAGCGAGTACATATACATATAAATGTATGTATGTATGTATTTCATATTGTGTATTATATGACATAAACGACACGTAGAAAACTATATGGGCACGCAAATTAGTACACAGTACGTAATACTCAATTCATCATTATATGCATTGCATCTCATCGCGTGAGAAAATGGATTGTCTTCATCGCTTCTTTATACTTTCGACACTCGCGTGCAACTTTATTTATCATTATTATTGCGTTCGCACAATTTATCTCAAAAAGAAAATTCGTATATATTAGAGATCATTGCGCTTGTTTAATTATAATTACTCACTTGATTTGAATAAATTACTTAATCTATTGAAATGAGAATATGGAGAAAAAAAATTATTATTTTAATATTGTTAGTATTAGAATAAATATTTTCAAATTATTTTTACTATTACTACTACTACTACTACTACTACTACTACTACTACTACTATTGTTATTATTATTATTATTACATATTTTTATATTATTCTTATAATTATTATTATTATTATTGTAATAATTATTTATTTTAGTTAAGTCTGATTAAAATTGATTTTCACTACTGAAAAATTTTTGTGAACTGAAAAATAATTTTGAAGATAGTTTGAAAATTGCAAAATGGAAAATTTATTGCACACGGGTCGTAGAATTATGTCTGACTGTAAATAACTTCTACTACTTAATATGAAAACTAATTAATGTCTGAGAAAAGAGCTACATTGACTACTGATAATAAAAAATTTACATATAACTGACAATGATTTAGTAATGAGGTGAGAATTTTTATTTCTTTCCTGAAGTATTTGAAAACTTGAATATAAAAACTTGGGTAAAAAAGTAGAAAAAAAATTAGGTAAAAACTTTGATTATTACTAAGATTAAAAAAGGGAACCAAGAGAGAAAAATTAAAAATTCAAGAGTGTGTTAACGTTGTCTGACAATAAATTTCTTTCACTACTGATAAAAATTTAATGCGAGTTTGAGAACTTTTTTATTATTTTTTTTTCTTATTTTTATAATAATAAACAAAAACAACAATAACAATGACAACAACGACAACAACAACAACAACAACAATAAAAATAATAATAATAAAAAATTAATGTTAACTGTTACTGTTAAATAGAGAATATTTTTTTGTAATTCATGTCTGATTGATATACTGACTTTCACTACTCAGGGAAAAATTTACAAAACTTACCTTTACTACTTGTAAAATAAAATTGTAATAGTTAAAAGTTCTGTGTAATTGGAAATAATTTAAACTACTAATAAAAATTTTCAGATTTAAAAAATATGACTTTTAGTGAAATATTTGTCTCACTAAAACTGTCTTTTACTACTTGAACAAAAATAAAAAAAAAAAATAGTTAAAAACAATGCAACTTTAAAAATAATAATAAAAATAAGAATAAAAACATTAATAAAAATAAAAAAATAGAAATAAAATAAATCAAGATAAAAGAAATCAAAGTAAAAGAAATAAAATAAATCAAGATAAAAAAAAACAAAAATAAAACAAATCAAATAAATCAAGATAAAAAAAACAAAAATAAAATAAATAAAAATCAGAATAAAAGAAATAATAAAATTAAAAATAATAATAATCATAAAAATAACAGAATATGAAAAATTTATTTATAAATTTTATAATGGAAGGAAAATCTCAATAAAAAATTTCCTTTCCGAATGTCTGACTAAAAAAGCTTCTACTACTGAAATTCAAATTATAAACTTCTAAAAATGACTGCTTGTGGTATATTGTCAAAAAAATATTTTCAGCTTTTAAAAAACCAGTACAATATTGTATTTTTTTCATCGAATTATTCCATTGATACAGAAGAAGAGAATAATTTTTTTTCCAATTATAATTTGCTTTTGTTTTTTTTTTTAGTCAAAAGGTACAAACAAAGAGTAGAGAATTATATTTTTTACCATTGAATTATATTTTTCCATTTTTAAAGAAGAGAATATTAACATACATTTTTTTCAATAACTTTTTTTTCTCCTTTTTTTTAGTCAGAGGTCAAACAAAGGATAGTGAATGAATGCTGCGAAGGTTACACAATAGAAGAGGTTCACGGTAAAGTTGACACAGAAACAAAATGTGTACCATTTTGCGAGAAGTGTGTCGAAGGCGAGTGCACTTCTCCGAACAATTGTCTATGTAAAAATGGTTATCAAGGGAGTGACTGCTCTTACGGTAAGACATTTTTTGTGATAAAAAAAAAATATTCCTCCCAAACACTTTTTCTTTTTCAAAAAATTTTATTTGCCCTCCCCTTTCTTTTTATAACTCACAAAGTAAGATTTCCAAAGAAATCGTATTTATTTTTTTCAAAAGAAAATATTCTTTGGACAAAAAAGAAATTTTGAAAAAAAACTTTTTGGTAAAATTATAACAAATTTTTCTATTGTTTGTTACAAATTTTATCAAAAGTAATTTAATATTTAATAAATAATTAATTTAATTTAATTTAATATTTTTTTTAAAAAAACTTAAAAATTAATTGATATAAATTATTTATATAAAATTTATCAAAATTTATTTAATAGAAAATTTATTAAAGCTTATTTAATACAAATTTTATTATGACTTGTAATTTATGAATTTTATTAAAAGTTATTTGTCATAAATTTAATAAAAAATTAATTAATGTAAAGTCTATCGAAATGATTTATGGTATAAATTTTATCAAAAATTATTTTATTAAATTACGAATTTAAATATCAGAATTATTTAAATACTCAAAAAATGAAGATATGAAGAATCTTAATATTTATTGTCACTATATAAATGAAATAAATTTTAAGAATGGACTTTTTAGAATGATGAAAAAAGGCATTAAAAATTTATGTTTCTCGTTAAAATTTTTCTATCGGCACTTGTGTGTCGCATTTTATTACATCATCGATTAAGCATAAATTGAAAATTGCGGAAACAAAAAAAAAAAAAAATTCACAAGGTTTTCCAGTAAAAAATATGAAAGTCAGGGATTTTCTTATATTTTGACGCATTACATTTCGATTATAATATGTAATGCAAAAAATTATAACGTAACAAATAAATATGTAAGCAAATACAAATATAGATAAAAAATATAATAAAAGCGGTAAAAAATATGATAAAAAAAATAAAAAATTATAAAAAAGGAAAAAAAGGATAAAAAAAGAATTCATAGAAAAGGTAAAAAAAGATAAAAAATAGATAAAAAATAATTAAAAAATATAATTATTAAAAATATAATAAGAAATAAAAATAAATTTTAAAACAAATATTTTAAAACTTATTATAATTATTATTTGACAATAATAAATAATTTTGTAACTTTTCAGAGTGTCAGCCAGGAACATGGGGAAAGTATTGTATGCAAGAATGTAATTGTACCCGTGAAAGTGCGTGTAATCCAGTAAATGGCAGATGCGAGTGTCCACCCGGATGGCACGGAATTAGGTAACCTTTTGATTTCAAATTGAAATTGAAATCGAAAATTTTAATACCAGTATTTATCAAAGTATCTCGAAACAAACTGAAATCGTTCACTTTGTGGATGAAATCATTTCGATTGCAATTTTTTTATTTAATCTCTAAATTTTCCTTTATATTTCTTCTATACAACTGTTTATTATTATAAAATAAAATTACAAGAAAAAGTTTTTAACTGATGATTTTAATTTCTTTTACAGTTGTTAAATATTCGATTTTTTATTTAATTTTGGGTTTTTAATTTTTATTTGCTCATTTTTAATTTTCAATTTATAGTTTTTAATTTTTATTTGAATATTTTTTACTTTTATTTGTAGATTTTCAATTTTTATTTGTATATTTTTAATTCTTATCTTCATTCGCTAATAGTACCAATTCCAATTAGCACCATTTGTTATTGGTATCACTAATCACTAATGGTACCATTGGTCCTTGGTACCACTAATTACTAATGGTACCATTGGATATTGGTACCAGTAATTTTTGGTACCATTTACCACCAATGGTACAATTTGTTTTTTAATAATGGTACCAATAACTAATTGTAACATTTTTTTGGTAACATTGGTTCTTGGTACTATTAGTAATTAGTACCATTGATCCTTAGTACTCTTAGTTACAAGTAATATTATTAAATAATGGCACCATTGAATTTTGGTACCATTAATTCTTGATACTATTAGTTATTAGTACTATTAATAAATAATTGCACCACTAAATTTTGGTACCACTAATTTATGGTACCATTAATTGTTACCATTTGTTTTTGATAAAGTTGGTCCTTGGTACCATTAATCACTGTTAGTACCAATTATTTTTGGTACGACTAATCACTGTGGATACAATTTATACTTGGTACCAGTAATCACTATTGGTACCATTTATACTTGGCACCAATGGTACCAAAATCAGATGGTTCTAAACACAAATGGTACAAAAAAAATGGTTCCAAGTACCAACAGTGATTATTGGTACCAAGTATAAATGGTACCAACAGTGATTAATGGTACCAAGTGTTAATGGGGTACCACTGATACTTGGTAGCATTAGTTTTTGGTACCATTGATACTTGGTACCATTAGTTTTTGGTACCCCTGGTACTTGGTACCATTAGTGTTTGGTACCATTAATCACTGTCGTACCATTTGTGTTTGCTACTGTTAATGACTAATGGTACCATTTGCTTTTCACACCACTAATCATCAATGGTATTTTCTTTTGAATAATTAATCAATAATGGTACAATTTTTTGGTATTATTAGTTATTAGTACAATCGATTAATAATATAAACACTTTTTGGTACCATTTCTTGCCTTTTTAAATTTTTCTTTTTTGTCTTTTATTTTCATGGGAATTCACAAAAAAAGGTGTGAGAATAAATGCTCGCCGGGACGATGGGGAGCATATTGTGCATCACCATGCGTTTGCACGGATCAACTGTCGGGCTGTCATCATGAAACTGGAGAGTGCTTTGACCTTGAAGTATCATTCGATCCAGTGCCCACCATTAAAGAGTGGACACTTAGTGAATTAACCCCTTCTTCCGGAGCAACAACCGACATTTCTTCCCCTCTTTATTCCCAACCGGAAAACAACACTGACTTTATTGATGTGACAAACGCTGATGATTTTGGTGACGCCAATCAAGATGATTTGCAGATTATCAGGATATCAAGTACCACTGAGGGAGCAGAAAGTAATTTTTTTTCTTCTTCATAGCAATAATTTTTTTTTTCAAACACTTCAATCATTTTAATGGTGTCGTCTATTGTCGAGATGCTTCATTCAACGCGTGCTGTTGAATCACCAACAAAAAAAAGAAGAGAAAAAGAAAAAAACTTCAAAATATCTTCGATTTAATATCTCTAAAATTTCTCTATCCTTTTCCTTCAATTGGAAAAGAATTTTTTATTTTTAACAGAAATGATTGGAAGTGAATTTTGGAAAATTCTACTATTATACTTATTATTATTAATTTATTGTATTTAGTTTTGATTTATTACATATTTATTTATTATTTATTATTGATTATAATTGTTATGTAATAATAAAACTTTATGTAATTTTTAAATTATAATGTTGATATACTATCACTTTATATAATTTTTGTTATAAAAAAATTGAGAAAATAATGCGATTATAAATTTATAATTTATTATAATAATTATTATTGTTTCTACAAATGATATTACTACTAATTTTCAGATGATACACTTAAAACTTTGTCAAGTACAACGAGTAAGACGTCGGTACATGTTTCATTAACTGAAAATTATTCGTACGAACCAACACGACCTCAGGCATCGACCACTTATCAAACAACGCAGGTTCCATTGCCAACGGAAATTTTCCCAAAGAAAAGTTCAATATTGACGACCAATACTGGACAAGTACACATTTTCGAGGAAACCCACACAAATGGTGATTCTGACTTGAATGTTAAACACGGCATTGGCTCCACCGATGAATTTGGAATTGATCCCCAAGTTGTCATGTCCCCGAAGACAGACTACGTGAAAAATGTTCGAAAAGGTAAGAAAAAGATATTGATTTTTGTCTCGTGTCGAATTGGTTTTTGTTATAATTAATAAGGAAAGTATTAGTTCTTAGTGAATTATTAATAAATATTGGTTGCGTTGATGGTTTTTTTGTATAGTTAGTAATTAATGGTAGCATTTGTTGTTACCATTAAAAGTACCATTAACCACAAAAGGAACCATTATTCCTTGGTACTATTAGTTCTGGTACCACTAATCACTAATGGTACTATTGAATTTTGGTACCAGTGATTCTTGGTACCATTAATCACCAAAGGTACAATTTGTTTTAATAATGATACTAACCACTAATGGTAACATTTTTATAGTAGCATCGATTCTTGGTACCATTAGTAATTAGTACCATTGGTTCTCGTACAATTAGTAATTAATACCATTGGTTCTCGCACCATTTTTAATTAGTACTATTGGTTCTCGCACCATTTGTAATTGGTACCATTGGTTCTTGGTACCATTAGTTATTAGTACTATTAATAAATAATGGCATTGGTCCTTGGTACCATCAATCACTGTTGGTATCAATTATATTTGGTACCATTAATCACTGTTGATACAATTTATACTTGGTACCAGTAATCACTATTGGTACCACTTATACTTGGCATCAATGGTACTAAAATCAAATGGTACTAAACACAAATGGTACAAAAAACAAATAGTTCCAAGTACCAACAGTGATTACTATCAATGGTCTTTGGTATCATTAATTATTAGAACTATTAATAAATAACGCCACCACTTAATTTTGGTACTAGTAGTTCTTGGTACCATTGGTTGTTAGTGCCATTTGTATTTGGCACTATTGGTCCTTGGTACCATTCGGTTTTGATATAATTAATCACGAATTGTACTATTGGTTTATGGTATAATTAATCACTTATGGTACAATTCGTTTTACTGATGGTGCCAACCACTAATGATAACTTTTTTTGTTGGTACCATTTAGTACATGGTAACATATATTCTTAGTACCATTAATACTGGGTACCATTTATTTTTGATACCATTAATCACTAATTTTGTTACAATTTTTTCTCAGTATCATTGTTTGTTGATAGCATTTATTTTTGGTACCATTGTTTCTTGGTGCCATTTGGCCAATTGGTACCAATGGTTATAATTACAATTAGTGACTGGTACCATGATGATTATTATTGTAAATTTATTATTGGTACCAATGGTCATTGTCACAATTGGTCCTTGGTACCATTATGATTATTGGTACAAATTGATTATTGGTACCATTGGTTATTGTTACAATTAGTGATAAGTACCATTGTTTATCTGTTCAATTAGAGTTTGGTATTTTTGGTTTTTGGTACAATTTGTGATTGGTACCAGTGGTAATTAATGCAATTGGTACCATTGTGATTATTAGTACAAAGAGATTATTGGTAGCATTGGTTATTGGTACCAGTGGTTATTGTTGCAATTTGTGATTGGTACCATAAGCGATTGGTACTATTGGTTATCGGTTCAATTAGTGATTGGTATTTTTGGTTTTCGGCACAAATGGTAAATGGTACCAGTGGTAATTAATGCAATATTATTAATTAAATTACTTTTTAATTAATAAAATAAAAAAAATAATTTCACTTTAGCTTATCGACATCAGCATCTAGTGCGTGATAAAAAACAATGAATATTTCTCAAAGATTAAATAATTACCACTTACACATTAATTTATTTTTATGCAAAAGTGAAATTCACTTAAACGCCATCATCCCTAAAATATTTTTGTGGTCGTATTTCATATTGTGTGCGAACTCGATAAATATAAGATTCCATCTTGCCTCACTCTGCTCTACATATTTCTCACATACAATCAAGCACACGCTACATTTTACTGTCGTGCATTTCACAATACATTATGGGATAATATACGTTACAATTTCCTCTCAGCTTTGAATCGGGCAACGTAACAAAGTTACATTTTATATTCCCATGCCCTTTCCATGTTTCTTTTTCGGCGTACAATAATAATTCAGAATATAACTGAAAGAAACGAATTGACTAATTCACGTGTCTTTCGTTCTTTCCTTCTTTCTTTCATATTTTTTTTTTTTTTTTTTTTTTGCATATAGTCATTGTTTGACAGTGGAGAATATCTTGGAATTTCAGTTCATTCTATTGTTTGGCATCGACAATTTAGTTTTTCCACTGTGTCAAAAAATTAAATAAAGGTTATGAAAACAAGAGAAGAAAATAGAAAAAAGTTTAAAAAGGATTTAATTTGTTAATATTGATTAATAAAATAATTTTTCAATTGGTTAATAAATTACCTTTTATTTATTAATTTCATAACTTTACACTTCATTTTTATAAATTTTTTAAATGTCCTGCTTTTAACTGAACAATTCCTTTTTGTAAATTACTATTGAATTTTCAATTATAAAAGTCAAAAGGCAGGAATTTTTTTTTTTTTTTTTAAATTGAAAGGATTGTAAAATTGCGTGACAAAAAAATAAAAGAGAGAGAGAGCCCATTGAAAAAACTCCCATTGAAGAGAATACAAATCGGATACGAAATTAATGGGATTTCAGTTGTTTTTGAAGTGAAAGATAGTTTTCTATTCAGGCTAAAATTGCTCTCACTTCCTTTGGAGTAAAAACAAAAAAAAAAATTGCATTCAATGAAAAAATCTTTACAAATAAAAAGGCAGAAAGTGGACGCCGCCACAGCGTCAAAGTAAATGAAAATTCTAAATCAATACAACTCATCCGGAAAATGAAAAAAAATTTCTCTATCTTAAATTTTAATTAGTTACACGTGATTAAAGAATTATCTGCTGAATTATAATTAAAATCTTAAGTAATTAATTTCGTTTTATTATCCAAACTATGATATTATCTCATTTTCTCTATTTTAATATTAAAGAAGTTGAAAACTGTGTGTATTAAAATATTACGAAATTTAATTAATTAATTAATTGATTGATTAATTAATTAATTAATTGAGTAATTAATTAATTGATTGATTGATTAATTAATTAATTAATTGATTAATTGAATCAATAATTGATTTATTAATCTATTCATTAAATACTTTATTAATTATTTAACAAATTCAATTACTAGTTACTTCATTAGTTCACTCAATAATTCATTAAGTAATTTATTAATTTATAGTAATTAACTGATTCATTAATTGATTAACTAATTGATTAATTAATATGCTGATTGATGATTTAATTAATGAAATTAAAAAATCGTACAATCAAATTATCAATTAACTTATTAAACATTAAGTGAACCAAATTTTGAATCAATTAGTTAATTAAATAATTATTGAGTTAATGAATCAACGATTAGTTAATGAATTATTTAATATGTTAATTATATAAGGAATCAGATAGGGAATCAATTAATGAATTAATTAATTTATACAGTTAATGAATAAACTAGTTTATGAATTAATTAATAACTCAAGTAGTTAATCAAATAACGAAATTATAAATAATCAATTAATTGATCAATTATTATTAATGCATTAATTTATTTTAATCAATTAATTCGATTAATTTACAAATTAATGAATCAATTAATATAATAAATGAATTAATAAAATAATAAGTCAATTAATAAATAAATTAGTAAATCAAATAACGAAACAATTAATCAATTAAATAATAAATGAATTAAAGAATCAATTAATTATTTAGTAAATGAATTAATTAATGTATAAATTAGTGAATCACTTATGGAATCACTTAGTGAATCTATTAATAAATGAATTAATTAATAATTTTTAAATACTGTACTAATTAAAACTATTTTTTTAGAAATAATTTATGAACGAAAATAAATTATAAATTTAAAACGGAATTTAATTAAAATTCTTTTGTAATTATAGAAGGTGAAAAGTTTTGCAAATTTACAGGAATAACTTGTTTACAGAAAGTTCCTCGCCGGTGTCTCCATTGCCAATGGACATCGCGGCTCTTATCATAATTGGGTCCATAATTTCATTAGGCCTGACGTCAATAGCGGCACTGATGATATTCCACATGAGAGCCAAATTGCTCGACGCAGTTCGTTTATCGATTTTCAATGACGAAAAAGTGAATTTCTCGGGAATTGAAAAGGGAAATGTGGAGAAAATTTCAACTATACATACGACACTTCCTCGTAAGTATAATTATATCACGTCTATATTTCGTAAGTGAGAAAAAAAAATTAACGTACTGTATATATAATAAAAATACAAATATAATTTTCAACATATTTTTTTAAATTAAATTTCACACTCTTATAAGATTATGAGCCATATTGTATATATACAATTATGTGCGATTTCTTTTTCAATAAGGAAATTCATTTTGTAGAGCAAAATTATATTTTATTTTTGTTACATAAAAATGAAATCTTAAGAAAAAATACTCCTCTTCCTTTTTGCACTATTTTTTTGGTTATTTTTATTAAATCTTTTTGTTTTACTTGTTTAATTTATTGTTTATTATTTTTAATTTTCTACATACTTAGGTAATTTTCCGATATAATAAAAATTATATAATAAAAGTAAAATTCCTAACGATTGGAAAATAAATTGAAAATTTTTTTTTTAAAATTGAAAAAAGGTATTTAATAAAACAAAAAGTTTTATATTGAATATACAGTAAATTTAAAATAAATAATAAAATAAAAAAAATTGTGTAAAAAATAAAAGAAATGTAGTAAAACAATTTTGATGATTAATTTGGCAAGTGATGTTATTGTCATGTTCGTAATTTAAGGTACATTGAGTCGAAATGATTCGACATTAAATGCGAATACTGAACCTAAAGCAGTCTTGACCTTAGACGAAACGGGTAATGAATATGCAAATGGAACAGTCACTATTGGTATTCGTCTTTCGAGTAATCTCAGAGGCAAGTTTCTTTTTTCTTTTTTTTCCAAATGGAAAAACCAATTTCAAAATTTTCCTCTTTAACAATAAAAAAAACTTTCTACAATAATACTAATCATTAAAAAAAGTAATCACTGCACTGAAAATTTTTTCTGAATACTAATCACTAATCAAAATTCTTTTTAAAAATAAAAATAAAGTCGAAAATCTTTTAACTTTCTTTCAAATTTTTTTCCTTTTTCATTTTCTTCTTATTAGTATTATTATTATTTACCTTTTTTTAACTTATAATAATAAAATTAAAAATAATAGAAACATATAGAAATAGAAATAGAAACAATAGAAATAATAATAAAAAATGGACAATCAATGGCTGTAAATAAAATAATAATTAAATAAATAACTAAATAATAATTAATAATAAAATTAAATAATTAAAATAAATATAATAATAACAATAAAGAAATAATTATTCTAATAATAATTTAATATAGAATAATATTCATAAAAATAATAATAATAATATACCTAAAAATATATTTATATTTATTTATGATTAATTTTTTAATTTTATTAGGCAAACATTATTTATCTAACAATGTAAATTTTTATTTAATACCAAAAACTTTTATTTTTTCTCGTATTTTTTAAAATAAATTTGGATTCTGTTTTTGTTGAAAATAAAATTAATTAAATTTCATAAATAAATAAACAAATTTTCAACTCAGAAGACAAATATGTTTTGTAAATAAATAACGAGATTTCCAGTGTAAATGTGATTAAAAATTTATACGGAACACGGGACATTTCGAAATCAGTGACATTCTGTTTATTCTCTCTGTTTCATTCGGAAATTACAGAATTTAGTAACAATTATTATCATCGTCAGTTTTTAACGATAATAAATTTTTTTTTTAAACTTATTAATTAATTTTCATTTTTTCCTTCTTCTATTAGGAAATTAATTTACATTTTCCTCTTTTACTTGTTATAATTTTCTTTCTTCTTCTAATTTTTTTTTTGGTAACTAAAATATCTAACAATTTTAACAATTTATTTATTTGCATGGATAAACATTACTAATTTAAATTTAAAATTGTCTGACTAATTTTTTCGAATAAAAGTCCTTTTCAGTGATAAATTTTTTCACTAAAAGTTCTTTTCACTGAGAATTTTTTTAACTAAAAGTTTTTCTCACTAGAGAATTTTTTCAATAAAAAATAGTTTTATTAAGTTTTTTCTACTGACAAATTTTTTCAATAAAAGTTTTTTCCACTGACACATTTTTGGATTACAAGTTCTTTTTCAACTGAAAAATTTTTTAACTGAAAGTTCTTTTCACTGAAAAATTTTGTTCATTAAAAGTTTTTTACACTGAGAAAAAATAATATTTTAAATAAAAAATTTGTTCACTATAATTTTTTTCTAACAATTTTTTTCGGTAAAAAATTTTTTTACCAAAAGTTTTCTCCACTGAAAAATTTATTAACTAAAAGTGCTTTCACTGGAAAATTTTTCACTAAAAGTTTTTCCACTTAAAAATATTTCTAATAAAAAATTCTTCTTTTACTGAAAGTTCTTTTAGTTAAAAAATATTTCCACTGTAAAATTTTTAAATTGAATAATTTTTTTATAATAAAATAGTTTTTTTTTTTTAAAATTTGTTTATTAAAAAATAGTTTTTTAAAAAAAAATTTGTTTATTTAAAAATAGTTTTTAAAAAAAAAAATTTTTTTTATTTAAAGAAATATTTTTTTTTTTAATTTGAGATTAATTTATATCAACTGTCAGATAATGGAGATAAAAATAATGTTTTATTCCTTCTTTTTTGAGTATAAAAACAGTAAAATGTTTGAATTCATTGTTTTTTCCTGTTGTCAGAACTTCTAGAGAGCCAGTACGATAGACCAGCATCGTTCTGTCATCGTGGCGCCAGTCAAACGGAAATGGAACATTTATACGATGAGATTCCACTTGCGTCTCCTTTCTGTATCAGCAAAGATACGTAACTCCCTTGAATTTAGTTTAGATAATAAAAGAATTTAGAATAAAAAATCCCTCTGTGAATTACTATATTCAAAAACTGTGAATTATTATTTAAACTCTAGAACATTATATTTATATAAGACTTCAGTTTGTATCTCAACTATATTATAGAAAAATAAAATCCAGTGACAGCTTTGGGAAAAATTATAGAGGAAGACAAATTTTGTCATTTGATAAAAAGATCACAAAAATAATGTAACAAAAAATACAAAAGAATTACGAAGAAAAAATTTGTCAAGAAAGACGAAAGAAAAAAAAATACGAAAAGTATTTTTAAATTCTACGAAAAGTGGGAAAAAAACACAGGAATGGAAAAATAAAAATTCAAAACTGTAGGAAATTGAATAAAGAATGGTGTAAAGATAGAAAATATCAAAGAAAGAAAAAAGGAGGACGAGAAACAAAAGGGAAACAGGAAAAATAAAAAAAGGGAGAAAGAAGAAAAGGAAAAAAAGGAGAGAAGAAAAAAAGAGTAAAGAAGAGAAGGAGAAAAGGAAAAAGAAGAGAAAAGGAAAAAAGGGAGAAGAAGCGAAGGAAAAAAGGAAAAATGTAGAGAAGGAAAACAGAAGAAAGGGAAAAAGAGGAGAAAAAAATAAAGAAGAGAAAAGGAAAAAAAGAAAGAAGAAGAAAAGAAAGGAGAAAAGGATAAAAGAGGAAAGAATAGAAGGAGGAAAGAAAAAATAGAAGAAAGGGAATAAAAGACTGAAGGGAAAAAGAAGAAAAAGAAAAAAAGAAAAGAAGAGAAGGAGAAAAGGAAAAAGAAGAAAGGGAATAAAAGACTATAGGGAAAAAAGAAGGAAAGAAGAAAATGAAAAAAGATAAAAATGAATAAAAAACAAAAAAGAGAAAAGGAAGAAAAAAAATAAAAGCAAGGAGAAAAGAAAAGAAAGAGGAAAAGAAAACAAAAGTGAAGAGAAGAAGAAAACAATATAGAAAACAAAAATCATATCACGGAAGGAAAAGTAAAAACTGACAAAAATAGAATCGAAAAGACGAATAAAAGTAAATCGATTCAGGCGGAAAAAAGAAAAGAAAAATTCTCCAGAGTGATGCTGAATACTCAACGAGGATTTATATATCGGATAAATTTAACACGACGCTGATGTTATACGATAAAAGAAAAAAAAAAAAAAAAGAAGTGGAGCAAAGTGCATCGCGTGGCGCCGCATGCGGCGCGGATATCGATGGAAAAGTCGCAACCTATTCGCGACCATAAAGTTTACCACACGACGACGACGACGACGACGACGACGGCGGACCTTCTCCATTTTATTCTTTGCCAGAGACTATATAGAAAGAAACAACATTCAAACTATCGATCTTTGTTTTTTTGTGTGCTAATACTCTGTAGGATTACCCAATACGTCAATCGCAATCTGCCGATCGATCGTGAGAAAATTTTCGGTAGATTGCACAAATAGTTGCTTCCAATCATGCCAGTAATGTTTCAAATTTTTCTTATCTGTTTTCGTCTCTCTTCTTTTGAAGAAACCAAAAAAAAATTTCAAAAAAATTTGAGTTATAATAGTGAAAGCAATTTTCAAAGTAATGAATCATTTTACTGAAAATATATATAGAGCAAACAGTAAGGAACAATTATTATTGTAATTATTGAACGAAAGTTATTAATTGAATTAATAATTATTATACTTATTAAATAATCATTATTATTAAAATTACTTGATAATAAACTGGAAAAAATTTATTTGGTTCTATAAACAGAAAAAAGATATAATTATATATATTTGACTCAGAGGCAACTGGACTTTTTATTTGTTTGAAATAAAATTTTATTTGGTTCAAGTAAACATTTTATTTGTGTCGAATAAAATTTTATTTGGTTCAAGTATACATTTTTATGTGTCGAATAAAATTTTATTTGTTTCAAGTAAACATTTTATTTGTATCGAATAAAATTTGTATTTAAAACAAATAAATAATTTAGAAGGCTCTGAGACAAATATATACTTATTTAACCCAAATAAATAATATTTGGTTTAAATAAAATTTTTCTCTGAATGTAATAAACTTGAATATTATCAAAAAAAAAAATTTACTTGAATCAAATAAAATTGAATTTAAGTCAATTAAATAGTATTTGAACCAATAATTTTAGTATTTGAAGCAAATACTATTTAATTGATTAAAATCTAATTTATTTAATTCAAGTAAATATTTACTTGATAATTGACAAGTAATCGTTTATTTGAATCAAATAAATTTCTTTCTCAGTGTAATTATTAAATAATAATCATTATTATTATAATTATTAAATACTAATAATTATTATTGAAATTACTAAATAATAATTATTATTATTATAATTGCTAAATATTAATAATTCTTATTATAATTGCTAAATGTTAATAATTATTATTATAATTATAAATTAAATTGATAAATAAAATTGATACAAATCGATACTCATAGTTACATAAAAATGCAAATTTCTCCCAAAGAAATAATATTTGTAGAGATAGTAAGTGTATTTTATCAGATTTTAAGTTATCGTTATGTAGTAATTAATTTGAGGCATTATTTTATAATTTGATAGCAATTGATTTATTTACAATTATTATTTAAATAACGAAATGATCTGCAAAAAGTTATATAAGAATTATTTTATAATCTGTTACCAGTCAGTAGTTAATTATTATTGTAAACTTTTTTACTATTAATATTATAATTATTATAATTATTAATTTTAATTTTAATTAATTTTATTATTATTATTATTATTATTACTATTAATAATATGATAATAATAATAATAATAATAATAATAATAATAATAATAATAATAATAATAATAATAATAATAATAATAATTATTATTATTATTATTATTATTATTATTATTATTATTATTAATTATAGTTATTATTATTAATATTTTTATTAATATTAATATTAATATTATTATTACCATTATTATTGCGATTATAATGGATATTTATGATTATAATTGTTATAATAATTAATTACTTTTAATAATATTATTTTTATTAGGTACTATTATTTTTAGAATTATTATATATTTTATTATAGTAATTTTTTATCTTTATTTCCCAAAGGAAAGCCATGAAAGTATAATATAACCTTGTACCAAAGTTCTAGGTATTACTCCATTTGTTGCTTGCAAGCAATTAGAGTAAATAATTTATACATTCCGTTGTAATGCGCGAATTTTGCGTCAACAAAAAATTTTTTTTGAATTTATTTTAATAAGACTTTGTATTAATAATAAGAGCTTATTTTTTACTCCATTATTTTAATAGGACTTCATGATAAGACTTTATTGTAATTTCTACGTTAATTGTAGTTGAAAATTTATTTCCATGAATTTATTTTAATTTTGCTTCCTCATAAAGGAAGCTTTGTATTTTTGTTTTTATTATATTGTATACATCAATTTACTATAGTGGATAATAATAATAAAATAAAGAATTACTGAAAAATTTGTAAGTGGACGCAAAAAAATTTGTGAAATTTTACTCTTGAGTGAAAAAAGAAACTATATTTTGTATTTAAGGATAAATTTTAGTTGTAAAATTTTATTGAGATAAAATAATTCGTTGGTTAAAACGATTTTATGATGATTTGTAATAATTATAATTGGACGATAATTGTAATTATAATAATTATAATTATATAATATTATTTATATTATATAAATAATACTATTTACGGCAAAAATTTCACAAAAAATAATTTAATTATTAAAAAGATGAGAAATTAAAGTTAACTGCAAAAAAAAATTGTCCACTATAGTAAATTCTAGTTATAAATAACAGAATTATAAAAAAATGCAAAATTTATAAATAGTAATGCGAAATTAATGAATAATATGTGCAAAATTAATAAACAATGCTAAATGAATAAATGATGAATGCAAAATTTATGAAAAATAAATGCAAAATAAATAATAAACACAAAGTTATTATTAAACACAAAATTAATAATAAACACAAAATTAATAAATAATAATTAATAAAAAATACTTGATTCAAATTAAAATCTAATTTTCTGTCCATTAGAAAATTTGTAACAAGCAATAATTTTCAAAAATGTTCTAATCTTTGCGATTATCTGTCAATTAGAAAACTATACAGGCAATAATTTTGAAAAATGTTCTCCTAATCTTGCGATTAGTGCAATAATAAATATAATAGCCAAAAAATTTAGTGCCTCGATAATTTTTCTTCAAAATGAGCGCTCACGAAATTATTTATATTGAAGAAAAAATAATTTTTGCTATTATTCGAATCGAAATTTAATTCTAAAATATTATATTTTATTATAAAATACTTTCTCAACTATCTTGTAACTTGTTAGTTTGTTAATTTAAAATTGCCATATACAATTTAATTTTATGTAATTCTTTCTCCATTATATGTATAAATATATTTATAAGTTAAATGCATTTAATTTAAAAAAGAAACTTAAGAAAAATTGCATTTTACGATCAATCAAAAAAAAAAAATTATAATCTTGTACATGATCTTGTAAAATGCGCAAGTTTCTGTTCATAAAAGTGAATTTATAGAATATTTTTGCCCGTTGTGCAATTACACGACATGTATTTTTATAATAATAGACGCAGACATGTTCCGATACATTTGAAAAATTATTTTAAGTCATCTAATCAACGTTCTCTGTATATGAAAAAGAAAGTAAATCGTTTTAAATTGAAAAGTCAACTTTCAATCATATATGTATTAATAGAATTTAATTAGAGATATTTTTTTTTTTAAACTTCCGGACTGATATGCAAATATTTTGAAACGGAATTAAAATTTTTGAGAGAAAGAGAGAGAAAGAAAGAAGTTTAAGTGCAAGTAGATTAGAAGTAATCATATTTTCCTTGTCTTTTTCTTTTTTTTTTCATTCCGAAACTGATTACGAACAGACGTGAGATGATTGTGTGGGTGTTAAGTCACTTTCATTTTAAAATCATAAAGAAAATATATTAAAATGTATTTTTAAAATACTATTTTTACTATTTGTATTTGTATTTCTATTTCTATTTGTATTTATATTTTATAATTATAATTTTCATATCTTCGTGAGTGCGAATGATTGTTTTATTATATGCGCCATTATTGTTGTAATTTTATTTTTCATTGTCCGCTATTTTCTGCCGTGCTTACAAAATATAAATTTATTTTTGTAAGCAAAAAACAAGTTGTATTTTTTCTTGAATAATAATTAAATTTTTTTTCAAAGTAAAATAAAAAAGTGTTTTTGGTTCATTTTATTTGCAACTCTCAAAAATGTTGAAATGAACAATTATTTATTATATTTTTTTATTTGTTTCTTTTTTAATTTATTTCCTTTTTTCATTTATTGCATTTAATATACTACAGCGAATTTTATCATTTAAATGCATAAATTGGAGCAAAAAAATGGGGAAGCAATAGAAAAATACTTTATCAAGATAAATGGAAAAATTAAATAATCTAAATGTGAATGACTAATAGGAGCGTGATTCACAGTTTGTAGGTTTAAACGAAAAAAAAAATAAGAGAAATATATTACTTATCATAAAACAAGATCCAAGGTCGTTTTCGTCAACATCCGCATGCAACATGAGATCATTGTGTTTTAATATATGAATCAAGATTATTTAAATAGCCGAGAGCCTTTACCTAATTCGAATAACTATACTCCAGTTATTATTATCTTCACCCGAAAAGAAAAAAATATTTTATCAATGATCTACATTTTATTCATGAACATACGTTTATTATTTCACTGTTATGTTAATTGTTGTACTATTTAACTATAATAATAGAATAATTACTCAATCCAGTGATTATGAAATTTAAAATTATCAAATAATAATAATAATTTATTTATTATTTAATAATAAATAATTAATAAAAATAAATATTAAAAATAAATAATTATTAAAAATATTTAAAATAAAATTTAAGTAAACAGAATTTTTTAACGTAAATCGATATAGAACAGAAAAAAATCGAAAATGAATAAATTTCCAAATGACTAAACGCTGAACGGCAGCAAAAAAAAAACACATAAATATTCTCGGTATTAATTATAATAAATAAATGAATTGAAATTTCGTAACTTTTGACCCTAGATATTAGAAAATGAAAACTGGTCCATCGGTTTAGAGCTTGTATTTTATATATATATATACAATAATAAAATGTTGACACACAAAATGAATATCTTGGAAATTGTGAGGAAATCTTTGTAAATAACAAGTTGACCTCCATGGTCTTTTAACATTTAAATTATCTGGAAAACATTGCTTAGTAGTCAATGAATATTCTTCCTATCAGCATGAGGGATCGGATGCTGCAAGTTTTATTGTTTTTGGCATTAACTGCCACGATATGTTTCGCTCAAGGTGTAAAAGGTGGATATCATTCATTACAATCTGAAGCATTAGTTTCATTTCCTGCTAAAGAAAGTGGCACGTGTTACAAAAGAGTTCCGTAAGTCATATCTTGGTAAATTTTATAAATAAAAATGCATTTTTTATAGACACATTACATTTTTTTGAATGAGACAAAAAAAAAAATTTGTAACAGAAATACAAAAAAAAATTGTACAATAAAAAATTAATTACTTATATTTCTAAAAGGCTAAGAAATTAATGTCTAAGCGATTTTTTGTTAGGCATTAATTAATAAAACTTTTCGTTAATTAGGAAAAATTAATCATATTAATTGTAGAGGGGAATTAAATGAATATAAATAAATGTAAAAATGTATATAAATAAGTGGATAATTAATTAACGATCTACTTTCATTTACAATAATTTACAAATTGAACAAAAAATTATTTCAATCTACATTATCTGGTTATACAATAAGGTCATGGGGATTAAATTGAAAAACTGATTTAATGATTCAATTAATTTAAATTCAGTTTATTAAATTTTGTTCCGCAATTTAAATTTAAAACTTAATTAAATTATTATCATTATTTATTTATAGATATACGAACGGGTGATAAACCCATGTATAAAAGAGATTGACAAAAAAAAAATTTGTCGCATTTTCAAATTAAATTTTTTCCGAAATTAGTTAAATTTGTTAATATATATTTAACTAATTATTAAAAATAATTTATCTATAGAAGAATTTTAGTTGAAAACACTAAGAAAAATTGAATTTGGCAGAAGTTACAAATAATTAGAGAAAGTCAATTATTTTCGAAACTAATAAAATTCTTCGAAGAAATTCAATTATGTTTCGAAATTTTTAAAAATTCGTGTCAGAATTTCTATTATCTTTGTAAATAATAAAATTCTTCTCTGAAATTCAATTATTTTCCAAAAATTTTCTTTAATTCAGTGATTTTCAATAATTTACTATTTTAAAAAAATTTTCCAAAAGAATTCAATTATTTGAAAAAGAAAATTAATAAAAGTCAATTTTCGATAAAAACTAATGCCTTCTCATGTGATTTTAATGGAAAAATTTCGATAAAATTCAACTCAAACATTTAATTGTTTTCATAAATAGTAAAAATAATTTCACGGAAATTTTTTATAATTTTTTTGTCAATAATTTCATTATTTTCATAAATAATAAAATTATTTTTAGGATTTCAATTATTTTTTTAAATTGATTATGTATATTATATTTTTTTCCTCATAGAGGAATTTCAATTAATTTTATAAATCAAATTTCTCCAAAATTAAATTACATATTTAAAATAGAATTTGCATACATCTTTTTTAAAACAATCAATTATTTAAATTTTTTTTATAAAATTCTTCGCAATAATTCAATTTATTTAAAAAAAAACTAAAATTCTTTTAATGGATTCAATTATTTTTAGAAATAATAAAATTCTTTTTAGGATTTCAATTATTTTTAAAAATTAGTAAAACTCATGGCAGAATTTTAATTATTTTTAATATAATTTTAATCGAATTTCTCGAAAAATGTAACTATTCTTAAATTTTTCTTTTTAAATTCGTCGAAAGAATTCTTTTTGAAAATTTTTGTATTTAAATAATTGAATTCTCGTAGGAATGTTTTATATTGATAAAAATTAATACAAAAATGAATTTTCGTTAAAATTAAAAAAAAACTTAGATAATAATAATTGAATATTAAAAGGATTCTAGCTTGAATTTTTAAAAATAATTGATTTTTGAATAGGTTCTAATTTAAAATCTTTAAAAATTTAAAAATCAGGGAAAAGTTCTCGGAAATATAAAGGAAAATTAAAATTTACTTTTTGTTGTAATCCTGAATTTCTTTAATTCTTTTTAAATTAAAGGAAGAGTAATTTATTTTCAAATTTTATCAGAAGCAATAAAGATTATTTGCAATGGAGAGCACTACGAATGAAAACATTTTTTTTTTCCGATAAATTTCTATTTGAACCAATATTTACGAAAATAAAAATAAAATTAAAGAAGATAAACTAAAAAACCGCCGCAAAGTTATTATTTTTTTGAGATTTTATTTTTATTTGTTTTTTTTCTGAAATTTTTTAATTTTATTGTCAATATCATAATATATTTAATAATAATAAGAATTAAATGAAAGATCTGCAAATATTATTTGGCCTAATGGCGTTAGCCATTAGGCCAATTAATATTTCAAGATCTTTATTTAATTATTTCGAAAATTTTCAAAATGAGAAATCAAGAACAAAATAAAATATATAAACTATAACTAGAATAATAATACTATTAAATATTAAATAATAAAAAAAATAACTAAAAAACTAAAATGAAAACTTCTTTTCAATATTAAAATGATAAACCAGTAGAAAATATAAATCAAAAGATAAACATTTTGCATTTAATAACTCTTCACAAACACTAAGTGGAATGAAACTGTATATATTTAGTTTTTCTTTTTATTGCGCTATTTTACAAAATGACCTGATTTGGAGAAAACATTAATTTCAAAACATGTATTCATGTAATTCAGGTACACACAGGCTTTAGTAGCTAATATATCAAAAGGCTATGTACAGACAGTGCCGGGTACACAGGACTCACAGCAGGGTTTCAAGTCGGTAAGTCTATCTTAATCGTACATAAGCTTTCACAGTACTGTTTTTGGCAAACCACAATTGGATTTTCCTCCACTAAAATATTTCTGCATTAAATTTCATTTTGACCTTTATAGTGAAATGCAATTCTCTTGTGTCTATATATTGCATTGTATAACGATTTCCATTATGTTATAATTTAAATTACTTCCTTTGCTGATATAGAATTTCTTTTCAATCCAAACATTTCCGGATTAATTTTAGTAGTAATAGTAACAAAATAATTTAATAATAATTAACATTATATATTATTATAATAATATTTATAAACTAATAATTATATTTATTTCTCTTCATATTATTAATTTTTATTTTTATCATAATATTATTCATTCATTCATTCATTATTATTATTATCTCTTCTACTATTTATAGGCGGAAAAATGATGCATAATTTATCGTTAAATTATGCATAATTTAATGTACTCAGGAATTATGCACAATTTTTGTTGATTTGAAATTTAAATATTTCAATGATAAAATTATAAGAGTAGAAATATTTTTTTAAATAACTTAAAAAATTTAATTAATTATAATTAATGAAACTAATGATATTATTAAGTAATTGAAGACGAGAATCATTAACAAGTTGTACTATATTAATAATATCATAAACTAACGGTACAACTAACTAATCCTGTCATAAATTATTGGTACTAATAATTAATGGAACCATTAAATAATGGTACCATTAAAAAATTAATTATACCATTAACTAATGGTACTATTAATTAATGGCACAATTAAATAATGGTACCATTAATTAATGTCACAATTAAATAATGGTACCATTAATTAATTGTACCATTAATTAAGGCTATTATTATCTAATTGTACAATTAAGCAGTAATGTAATTAATTAACGGTACCATTAACCAGTAGTATAATTAACTAATGGTACCAATCACAAATAATGTCATCGACCAATGGCACCATTAATCAATGATGTTGTTAACTAATGGAACCGATAACTAATGCTACCAATAACTAATATTAATTACTAAATAATAATGCTATTAGTGAATGTTGGCAGTAACTAAAAGTATTACTATTAGTTTACAGTTATACTTAATGGTACCATTTGTTAAGAATATTTTTAGCCACTGGTACCATTATTTATAGTACCATTACTTAATAGTATCAACAATTAATAATACCATTAGCAAACAATATTTTTAGCCAATGGTACCATTACTTAATAATATTAATAGGAATTGGTATCATTATTTAGCGGTACCATTATCTCATGACTGCATTTTATTTGTCGTAGCTTTAATTAATAATATTATTATTTAATGGTACCATTAGTTAACGGTACCATTATTTGATAGTATCAATAATTAATGGTACCACTAGTTAATCATATTTATGGCTAATGATACAATTAGTTAATAATATTTTTAGCCAATGGTACCATCAGTAAACGGTACCATTATTTAATAGTAGCAATAATTAATGGTACCATTAGTTAATAATATTTTTAGTCAATGGTACCATTAGTTAACGGAACCATTATTTAATAATAGCAATAATTAATGGTACCATTAGTTAATAATATTTTTAAACAATGGTACCATTTATTAATGGTACCATTAACTTATGTCTGCACTTATTTGTCGTACCTTTACTTCATAATATTATTAGTTTACGGTATCATTATTTATTAGCAGCATTAACTAATAGTACCATTAGTACCGTTAGTATTTGATAGTTTTACTTAATGATACCATTAGTTATTAATATTTTTAGCCAATGGTACCATTAGTTAACGGTACCATTATTTAATAGTAGCAATAATTAATAGTACCATTAGTTAATATTATTATTAGTTAATGGTACCATTAATTTTTTCGGGATTTTATAATAGTTGCATTAATTATAGGTACCATTACTTTAAAGATAGCTGTAGTTAATGGTACCATTATCTAAGGACAGCATTAATTAGTGGTACCTTTTAATTGAAGAAATGTTTAGTTAATGGTACCATCAGTTAATAGTATTATTAATTAGTGGTACAATTGCTTAATTGCAGGCTATGTAAATGGTTTCATAAGTAAATGTCAGCTTTAGTGAATAGATACTGATGGTATAACTAATTTATGGTATTATTAAGTAATAGAACCATAAATCACTAATTTATGGTACGATTGAGTAATGGGACCATAAATTAGTGATATAATTAGTTAGGAACCAATAGTTAGGAGCAGCAATAATTACTAATACCATTAACTAAGATCATAATTAATAAATTAACAAATAATACTGTAGACTAACGTCACCATTAAGACAATAAAAGAAAATTTAATAAAACTAAGAAGAAAATAAAAATAATAATTAATAATAACACTAAGAATAAAATACAGTTGAGAAACATTTTTTGTTATTAAGTAATTATATTTGCATTATGTAATAATAGAATTGACAAAACTTTGAATTTTTTTTTGCAGGGACGACCCAGTGTAATAACAATAATCGACTGCTGCGATGGTTTTGTTCGTAATAGCGAAACAGGCGAGTGTGAGACGCACTGTGATGAGGGATGTTTCGGTGGTGTTTGCACTGGACCAAATATTTGTACCTGCGACACTGGTTACACTGCCCAAGCGGGTATATGTACACCTGTGTGTACAAGACCATGTCCATTTAATTCAATATGTCATGGACCAGATGAATGTAAATGTAATGAGGGCTATATGAAGGAAAATGGTGAATGTAAAGCAGAATGTCCCGATGGTTGTATTAATGGCGATTGCATATCGCCAAAAATTTGTCAATGTAAACATGGCTTTCAACTAAACAAGGCACTCAATGAATGTTTTCCTGTTTGCGAGGGCGGATGTCCACATGGAGACTGCATTGGTCCTGCATTCTGTCGCTGTTATCCCGGGTAATATTTGTTATTAATAATTATATTTACAGATTTCATTTCACGCGCTAGAAAGGATTATTTTTCTTATATTTTTTTTACATTTTACGTCATTGGTACCATTAGTTACCAGCAACATTAATGTTTGGTAGCATTAATTACTATCAACATTAAAGTTTGGTACCATTAATTACTAGCAACATTAATGCTGGGTACCATTAATTACTAGCAACATTAATGTTTGGTACCATTAATTAGTTGTAGCAAAAATTAGTTATGACATTTTATATGGTTAATAGTACTATTAGTTAATGGTAATACCAGTTAATGATACTATTAGTTATAGCAAAAATTAGTGGTACCATTATTAATTGGTTAATGGTACTAATAGTTAATGGTACCATCAGTTAATCATAGCATTAGTAAGTTATAGTAAACACTATTAGTGACATAATTATATTGTTAATAGTACTATTAGTTAATGGTACCACAAGTTAATAATTAATTCATTAATTAATTATATCATAATAATTTGTGGTACCATTAGTTAATGGTACCATTATTTATTTGCAGCTCCAGTTAGTGGCAATTTAAATTAGTAGTACTATTAGTTCATGCAATTTTAAGTCAGTGGTACCAATAGTTAATGACAATGTTGGTGAAAGACTCTATTAATTTGTGGTACCATTAATTAATAATATTATGGGCAATGATACCGATGCCTCTGGTTAATGGTACCATCTGTTATTGCCACCATTAGTTAGATGTGCTTTTACTTAATGGTAGAATTAGTTAAATGCAGTTTTAAATAATGGTACCTATAGTTAATTAAAGCCTATAGTTAATGGTACCGTTAATTAATAATACATTTTGTTATTGGTATTATTACTTCATGGTATGATTGACTAATAACTGCATTAATTACTAGTGCCTTTAGTTAATAACAATATTAATTAATGCTACCCATAACTAATCATTTTATTAGTTAGAGATACCATTAATTAATAATATTGTTAGTTAATGGTACCATTAGATAATTTTACCATTTGTCAATAATTTTATTAGTTTATATTAGAGTTAATTAATGGTACCATTAGTAAATGATATGATTAGATCATGCTACCATTAATTAATGGTATCAGTACCATTATTTAATGTTGCCATTAATTAATTGTATCACTAGGTAATGATACCATTAATTTAGGGTACCATTAGTTAATGCTACCATTAATTACCATTAGTCAATAGTACTATTTGTTAATGTTAGTTAATGTCAGTTAACTAATGTAAGTGAATGTTAGTTTATGACAGTATTAATTACTGGTACCATTACCTAATGACAGTTGTAGTGAATTATTTCCTAATTACGGAAATTGTAGTAAATTACATTCATTTACTGAAAATTCCAATTAATTCTAGTTAAAATAATTAGCAGTAGTAGAAATTATTTTAAAGTTAACAATATGCAAGGAGAAACTGAATTTTATGGAGCATATACTAATTTACAGATACGAGAATGCCCCAGGGGATCAGGAGACTTGTGTTCCACAATGTCCAAAGGGTTGTTTCGGAGGAACATGTCTTGTTCCGGGATTATGTAAATGCGAGGAGGGTTATAATTTAGTTAGGAATAATACGTGTGAGGCAATTTGTAAGAACGGTTGCGATAATGGAAGATGTGTCACACCAGACAAATGTTCATGTAATTCGGGATTCAATTTTGATGATGACACCCAAAAGTGTGTTAGTTCCATTTATGAACCCTACGGTCAGAGGGTGACTGTTCTTCATCAGGAAAGTGGAAATTATGGAAATTTAGGTGCCGCTCAAAATAAGGAGGGAACACTTGATCAACAAACTGTTCCAATTCGACAACTGCCAGGACGATACAATCAACAATCGGGTTTCTATATTCGCGGTCAACAAGCGGGCAATTATCAGGACGGCGGTCAACAGACGGTGAATTTGGATCAACAGAGTGTGAGTTTTGGACAACAGGCTGGAACACATGGTCAACAATTGGGTAGCTATAATCAACAGTCCGGAACTCATGGTCAACATACCGGAGGTTATGGACAACAATCCGGAACACATGGTTATCAAGCCGGAGCACATGGTCATCAATCCGGAACTTATGGACATCAGTCCGGAATTTATGATCAACAATCCGAAACACTTGGTCATCAATCTGGAGCACATGGTCATCAATCCGGAATTTATGGTCAACAATCGGAAACACATGGTCATCAATCCGGAACTTACGGTCATCAATCCGGAACATATGGTCAACGGTCTGGAACACACGGTCAACAGTCTGGAACATACGGTCAACAATCCGGAACATACGGGCAACACTCTGGAACTTATGGACAACATTCCGGAACTTTTGGTCAACAATCCGGATCTGTAGGTCAAGAGACAGTTCACGCTGGTCAACAACTAGGAAGTTACAATCAACACGCCGGTCATTATAATTCTGAACATGGTCATCAGACGTCCTACGATCCTGTGGGTCAAGTCAGTCAACAAACAAATTTAGAAGTTGAAAATTTCAGTACCAGTGGTTGCACAAAGCAGTGCATCAATGGAATCTGTTCAGGAAATGAGTGCCAGTGTAAAAGGGGTTACATGCTCGACGTAAACGATCCAACTGAGTCAAGATGCATTCCCATTTGTTTCGGAGGCTGCAAGAATGGAGTGTGTACTGCACCAAATGTTTGTTTATGTAACGCTGGTTTCGAAAGGGATCGCAGTATTAAGGGCAGATCCCACTGTGTTTTTATATCGTATTAATTGAACATTACTGTTTTTAATAATTATAATTATTGTAATAACTTATTTTAATTAGTAACTATTAAAGTAACTGTTAAAAAAATAAACAGTTATTTTTTAATAACTGTAAAAAAAAAATAAACTTCATAACATAAAGTTCATTAATGGTATAACTTTGTTATAATAAAAGTTGTCATAAATTATGGGTAAAGTTACCTAAAATTATTATTAAATTATGGTACCACTAATTAATGGTACTATAAAGTAATGGTACCATTGACTAATAATATTATTAACTAATGATACTGGAGATAAATGACACTATTAACAAGTGGTACCGTTAAGAAATTTTAATATTTGCTAATGGTACCATTAATGAATAATATCATCAACTAATGTTACCGTTAAATAATGGTACCATTAATTGATAATATTATTAATTAACTAATGGCACCGTTAATTAATGGTAGCATTAATTAATAATATTATTAATTAATGGTACCATTAGTTAGCGGTATCATTAGTTAATGATATTATTCATTAATGGTACAATTAACTAATAATATTATTAACTAACTGTACTACTAATTAATGGTTCCACTAATTGATGTTGTCATGAACTAATGGTACCATTAGCTGTTAATATTATTAACTAACGGTACCATTAATTAATGGTACCACAAATTGATGTAATTAACTAATTTTATTTGATAGTTTTACTTAATGTTACCATTACTTAACGGTACCATTATTTAATAGTAGCATTAATTAATGATACCATTAATTAATAATATTATTAGCAAATGGTACCATTAGTTAACGGTACCATTAGTTTATGACTCCATTAATTAGTCTGCATTAGACTAATTAATTATGCTGCAAATAGACTGCATTAGTTAAAAAAATTATTAGTTAATGGTACCATTATTTAATAGTAGCATTAATTAATTGTATCCTTAATTAATGGTGCCATAACATAATAGTAGCATTAGTTAATGTTAACATTTGATATTAATGTTATTAGCCATTGATGCCAATAGTTGATAATATTTTTAATTATTGGCATCATTATTTAATGCCATCATTAATTACTGTTATTATTAGTTAATGGCAACTTTAGTTATTTGTACTATTACTTAATGTCAATAAATTAATCAATGACAATTCTTACTTTGACAATTATTATAATTATTATTATACTAATTATTATAATTTATAATTTTTTGCTAATTTTCACTAATATTATTGTCTTATTATAATTATTATTAAAAGTTTTATAATTCTGCTCATAAATACTGTTAGTGCCATTATTTTTACTGTTATTAAAATACCTCAAGTACCAAGAATAATATGTTTTTACTTTTTAATTCGATAATAATAATTTCCTTTTAGCGGATAAAGCAATCAAAGTCGAGGCTTATTTTAAAACCCTTTTAATTAAAAGCTGGGTTTATGAACACTTTTTTTAGAGATAAAAAAATCTCTACTATCGTCTTTGCTGAAAATTTTCGAAACTTATCTCATTTCCTCTATTTCAGAAAGGTTGAGAAATTTATTTTTTTTTACAAGATTTAAAGGAAGTCAGCGGTTGAGTTTAAAAATATTTGGTTTTTTATCTCTGTTGAAGGATATCTTTTTTAAAAGGAACTGATTACAAATGATTAACTAATCATTTGTTTACAATTCTTTTTTCTCTTGAGAAATTTTGTTTTGAGATTACGATTAACCACAAAAAATGACAAAAACAATTATTGAAGCCATGTTTATTATTCCAATTTATTAATAGGAAAAAATTAATTATATTATTAAATTATAATTTTATTATTAAAATTCAAATTTCTATTAAAATTATTTACTTTATAAAATTAACAATAAATTTTGTTTATTTAGTGAAAGGTAGATAATTTTTTTTGTTATTTAAATAATATTTAAAAAGTCAGATTAATTATTTAGAGGTGAATAGTAAAGGGAGTATTTATTATATTTTATATAGATAAATAATTTTTATAATTAGTTAATTTAAGAATAACATTGTTTGATAGATGGACTTTTTTATTTTTTTAAGTAACAAACGTTAATAATTTAAAATTGATATTTTTTTGCAAAGTAAAAAGAGAATATGATATGAAGGAATTCCCTATGAATTATTCGCTTGAATGTAATTAATCATAGGAGGCAACATATCCTGCTGATAAACAATTTATCTCAAGCTACGAAGAAAGAAAGTCGCTCTTATATTGTATTTTAGTATTCTGTGCACAGTGCATTGTGAATTATATCTTATAAAGAAATCATGAAGCGTATTATAATTATATTTGTGTTTATGATAAATATTATAAATCACAGTGATGCTTCCTTAACCCCAACTACAGCGGATTCTGTTTGTAAATTAGAATACAGGTAAGTTTTTCTTCTCTTGATTTGGTAAAAATAAAATAAAATAATAAAATAAAAATAATTCAAATAATAAAAACTTCTAACTGCAAAAAAAATCCATGAGAATATAATTTCCTACAGGGAAATTACATTTTCTTGAATTTTTTGAAGATATTTTTCTGTCTTAATTCCGAAAATGTGCTTCAAGAAGTAATCTAATTAAGAAATAAAAATAATAAATTAATTAGAAGATAAAAGACGAAAAATTAATTTAATAAAATATATAATATATTTTCAATAAAGATGAGCTGTTAATTTGAGATTAATTTTCTTAAATTATTTCTCGAGTTTAATAAATTTAATATTCGTTATAGCACCAGGGAATATCAATTGGTTCCATATGAGGAAACCTATCAGCAAAGAGTTTTAAAATTTTTTTATAAAATAAAAACACGAATAAATTTCAGAAAAGAGGTAAATTTCGTCATATTAATTATAAAATTCAATTTTCATTAGAATAGAAAAAGAAAATTATAACTACATATTATAAATAAATATATTTCTTAAACATAAATTTTTTTTTGCTATTTTTCCAAGAAAATAATTCTCTAAAAATAAAAAATTTTGTTAATTGATTGTAATTAGGGTAAGTCTAGGGAAGATGGCCATGGTTATTCAAAAAGATTGTAAAAATTACAAAAAAAAACATTTTTGTCTAAACTTTTATTGATAATTAAACATTTAACACTTAACTTTAATTCTTTCGTTCCATCAGAAAATTCAGCGAGTTGATTTTGTTGAAACTTATTCCTTGGGGGTTTTTGGGGGTCTGATTATGAATTAAAAATAGTAAAATTTCCACTAATTGTTAGTAAAATTTTACGATTTTATTTAATATTTTACTATTTTTTAGTATTTATAGTATTTTCAATAAATTTTTAGTAAAAATTTCTACTAATTTCTTAGCTAATTTTCACTAAAGTTTTAGTAAAAAATTGAAAACTATATAATAAAATAGTAAAATTTCTGCTAATTGTTAGTAAAATTTTACTATTCTATTTAATATTTTACTTTTTTTAGTATTTATAGTATTTTCAATAAATTTTTAGTAAAAATTTCTACTAATTTATAGTAATTTTTCACTATAAAGTTTTACTAAAAAATTGAAAACTACTTAAAAAAATAGTAAAATTTCCGCTAATTGTTAGTAAAATTTTACTATTCTATTTAATATTTTACTTTTCTTTAGTAAATTATAGTATTTTCACTAAATTTTTAGTAAAAATTTCTAGGTACTAATTTCTTAGTAATTTCCACTAAAGTTTTAGTAAAAAATTAAAAACTACTAAATAAAATAGTAAAATTTTACTATTATAATTATTATAGCTACTATTTTCCTATTATAAGTACTAAATGAAATAGTAAAATTTCTATTAATTTTTAGTCAAATTTACTATTTTCTTTAGTAGTTTCTAATTTTTCACTAAAGTTTTAGTAAAAATTTCTAAAAATTTCTAAAATTCTTAGTAACTTTTCACTAAAACTTTATTGAAAAATTGAAAAATACTAAATAAAATAGTAAAATTTTACTAACAATTAATGGAAATTTTGACTGATTTTTTGTGGACGAATTTTCAATAATTTAATTTTAGACAATAATATATACATTGAGAAACAAATTATTTTTTATATAAATGTTATTATTATTAATTAACTATTAAATTTATTAACTATTAAATAAATATGTTTAATAATTAATGTACAACAATATTTAATTCACTTCAATAATTATTTTAAAATATATTAATAATTATTTTCTACTTTAGTTGATAAATACTTTATTTTTTTATATTTATTTTTAACTTAAAAGGATTTTCCACTTTTTAGTTGAGGCAAAAATATGTTTCAACTCTCTCTATGCTTGAAATTAACTTTTAAATGAATAATGCATAATTTAGAATGAGACAAATTTTATATTTAAATTAAATATCTATATTAATAATCGTTGTATTCCTGTAATCTGTTCGCAGTTTGTAGTTAGTTGTTGTTTGCTGTTTTGTTTCCTAAAACTTTTAATAATTATTTTTTAAAATTTTGGTTGAAAATATTTGAATAGTTTCGAAGGATTCTTTCGTATTGAATTGAATTCTTTCGTAAAATTTTGTTTAAAATAATGGAATTTTAACAAAAAATTTTACTGTTTATAAAAATAATTGGATTCTTCCGAAAAATATGATTTATGAAAATAATTGAATTCTTGCGAAGAATTATATTTAAAAATTTCCTACTACTTTCATAAAAGTTTAACTATCAATAAAAATTTAGCCAAAAATTATTTTCTTTTTATAATTTTTACAATAATTAAAAAAACTGGACTTACCCTAATTCAAATTTAGAGAGAAAGAGAGAAATAGCATAAGAGAAAAATTTATAATTCATCAATTTATTTTTAGTACTACACATTTTGGCATACAGGAGATAAATGTTGTCCAGGATATTTTGAATATTTATCACAATGTCGTCCAGTTTGTCATCAAAAATGTGAAAATGCTGAGTGCAAAAGGCCAAATGAATGTCATTGTAATGTGGGCTACAGAAAAGAGGATAATGTCGATAATGTTTGTGTGCCAATTTGCCAGAACGATTGTATTCATGGGACATGTACGAAACCAAATATTTGTACATGTAATTCTGGTTATAGTTTAGAATCCGATGGTTATACATGTAAGCCAGTTTGCAGTGGTTCATGTCCGGAAAATTCAATTTGCACTGCTCCGAATGTATGTCAATGTATCACTGATTACAGTGTGAAATCACATGATAATGGTACAAAAATTTGTTCGCCAATTTGTGGACAAGAGTGCATTAATGGTGAATGCATTGCTCCCGATGTTTGTCAATGTAAGGAGGGTTATTTTAAGGAGCAAGAAGATTCATTTTCTTGTAATCCAAAATGCAGGAATCAATGTTCATTTGGCATTTGTAGTGGTCCGGATATTTGCACGTGTTTTCAGGGACATTCATTGATGGACGATGGTTTTACATGTAGGCCAGTTTGCAGTAAACCTTGCACAAATGGCGTAAATATTTTTTATTAATCTATTAATTTTTATTAATTTTTTTATTAATTTTTATTAATTTTATTAATAATTTAAAAAAATTTTTTTTATTAATTTTGACAATGGAAAAAAATGTATTTGATTCAAATACACAGTTTTCTTAAAAATAGAAAATTGATACTAAAGTATCAACTTCTATGAAAGAAAAATTTAAAAAGTGTATCAACTTGATACAAAAATTTAGATCAATTTTTTATTTGATACACATTTTGATATCAAAATGATATACTTTAGTATCTATTTGATACTTTCAAGAAAAATATGTAACCGATTAATTGTCGATTATCAAACAAATAGTTTTTTGAATCAAATAATTTTTATTTGAGGCAATTAAATAGTTCACTTCATATTTGCTTCAAATACTGTAATTATTGGTTCATGACACAATTTATTTGACTTAAAGAAAAATTTTTTTGATTCAAGTAAAAAATTATATTTATAATAATTACTTCAAGTAGGTACCGAAATTATTGATTCAAATACCGAAATTATTGGTTCAAATACAGAAATTATTGGTTCAAATACAATTTCATTGACTTAAATAAAATTTATTTGATTTAAGTAAATATTTCATTGATAATAGACAAGTAATCGATTATTTGAATGAAATAATTTTTTTTTCATTTTTACTAATTAATAATAATTGTTATCAATCTGCAATTATTTACTAGATAAAATTCAGTTTGTTTATATTAAAATTTTCTTTTTTTTTTAATACGATAGAAAATTTTTTACATTTTTTTGTTGTCCACTACAATAGAATTGTACAGCACCAGATACGTGTACATGTTTTGAAGGATATGGTATTATGGATGATTCTGATTTGACATGCAAACCAATTTGCAGTTCGACGTGCGAAAATGGCCAATGTATCGCACCCGAAACATGCAGTTGTAATACTGGATATAAAATGGACAATTATTCAAATTGTCAGCCAGTTTGTTCTGATGTTTGTCACTTTGGTGTAAGTTTATTAGAATTACAAAAAAAAAAAAAAAATTTTTGGTCCTACTTTGCAAATTTTTTTTTTTTTGGTTTTATTTTTCAGTAATTTTTAAAAAAATACTTTTTTATTTATTTTAAGTTTAATTTTAACGTTTAGAATTTAATTTCAACCTAAAAAATCAGTAAAACTAAAAAATAGTAAATTATTTGAGTAATTTACTTATTTTATTGATAGTTTGTTTATTATTTATTTATTTATTAAAGCTTGAAAAAAATTATTATAAATCCATTATAAACATATTAAAAATGATTTAAAAAATTAATTTCATTAATATTTTAAATTTCTCAAATAGGTTTTATCTTTAATTTAATTTTGATAAAGTGATTTTGAAACAATAATTTGCATTAATTATAAAAAGAAATCCAATTAAAATTCTCGTGAAGTTTGCAAATGTCAAAAAAAAAAGAATTCAACAGTTTCAAATTTAACTTTTTATTAGAGATTTAAATTCACTGGAGGGAATTTAAATTCAGTTGGAATTAAATTTAAGTAATCGGCCTTTATCATAGGAAAAAATAATAATTTTCGTGAATTTATAAGAAAAAAGAGATTTAAAAATTAAAATTTATTGGGAAAAAATTTTTTCCTATTTGAATTTTATTCGGAAATGAAATTTCGAGACTTTACATTTTATTCAACAAGCAATTTCAAATATTTTTTAGATTTTTTAGAAAAAATAATTTTACACCAGAAAATTTTTTAGAAATTAAAATTTATTTAAAAGAAAATTATTGGAAATTGAATTTTATTGTAGAAAAATTTTTGGAAATTGAAGGCTATTTTAGATAACTTGAAATTTATTTTTGAAAAAATGGTTGGAAATTAAATTCTATTAAAAAAAAAATTTGGCGAAATTATTAATAAAAAAATTTTTTGGAAATTGCAGTTGTTTAGAAAAATTTTCTTTCGACTTTGAAAATTGATAAGAAAAAAAAATAGAAAACAAAAAGTAGAAAATACAAAAAATAGAAAATAAGAAAATAAGAAAATAAAAAAATTAAAAATTGCATTCTAGAATAAACTTTACAACAAAATTATAATAATAATAATAATAATTTTTTTTTTGCTTTCTTTTCAAGACATGCACAGCGCCAAATTCATGTACTTGCTTCAAGGGCTATGAGAAAAAAAATTCTTCCAATAATGTCTGTGTACCAATTTGTGAGGAAAAATGCGATAACAGCTATTGTAGTGCACCAAACATTTGTACATGCAATGAGGGTTATCGCATGAGTAACAGGTCAAAGTGCGAACCAGTTTGCACTAAACATTGCTACAATGGGGTAGATATCGATGATTATTATACAAATATCAACAGAAAAAAAATTATAATTTTTTTTCCTGTAAATTTCTAATTCTAAAAAGAAATATTTTCCGTCGGTTTCAATTAATTAATAATAACAATTAAAAGTAATTAAAAAATATATTTTTAAATTAATAATTAATTAATTAACATAATGAATAATATTCAATATGCAATTAATTGGTTATAATTAATTAATTAATTAATTAATTGGTTTTATAATATTAGAAGAATAAAAATAATAATAATATAATAGGAATAAAATAAAAAAAATTAAATTAATAATTTAATTAATTTTTTTATTAAAAATTAATAATTGATTTTAATTAAAATTCATAACTAAACAAATTAATATAATTCTCAATTTTATTTAAATTTATTTTTCTAAAATTGTTATAAATTTTTTCCCTCACAGAAATGCTCATCGCCAGAAAATTGTACATGTAACGAGGGATTTAGAAATAATCCAATTTTACCAAATGTTTGCGATCCAGTGTGCAAAAATATTTGCAAAAATGCCCGTTGTACGGGACCGGATATTTGCACTTGCAATGGTGGTTATCAAATGAATAATAAATCTGAATGTGAACCAATTTGTTCCAAGGGATGCAAAAATGGAGTGAGTTGAATTTTAAGAAAAAAAAATATTGAATATTTTAACACTACTATTATTAATTTTAAAGCAAATTGAATTAGTTTTTATAAATGAGTATTTACTACTAACAATTATAATTACTATTAAATATTTTAAATACAGCCGATAACTATAATTACTACTTATAATTATAATCACTACTAATAATTAGAGTTACTACCAATAATTATAATTACTACTAAATAATTAAAGTTGCTATTAAAAATTAGAATTACTACTAATAATTAGAATAATAACAATTACTAGTAACTAGTTAGTAGTATTACTATTAGAAGTAGTTACAATTGTTAGTAACTAGTTAGTAGTATTACTATTAGGAGTAGTTACAATTGTTAGTAGTAAATACTAATTATAATTTTCAATAGTAATGTTAATTATTAATTCTAATTTTTAGTAGTAAGGATATTTATTACTAGTAAATAGTAAAAGTAGTAAAACTAGTAAATTTACTAGTGATAAATATCGTTACTGCTAAAAATTTTAGTAGTAACTAGTTAGTAGATATTTTTTTGCTAATAAATATAAACAATAATTTTTTAGTAGTAATAATACTTATTAGTAGTGTAATTATAATTAAATTATTAGTAGTAAAATTGGAATTAAATTATTAGTAGTATAATTGTAATTAAATTATTAGTAGTAAATACAATTAAAATTTATTTATTAATAATTAAAATATTTAATAGTAACAATTAAATTATGAATAATTAAATTTAACGAGAAGAAAATTAATAATATACGATTAGAATTGTACAGCTCCGAACTATTGCACCTGTTTCGATGGCTACAGGAAGAATGAGACGGAAAATGTCTGTGAACCAATTTGCGAGATTAATTGCGAAAATGGATATTGCAGTGGTCCAGAAGTATGCGAATGCAATGATGGTTATCGAATAAGCAACGAATCGAAATGTGAACCCATTTGCCCGCAAGGATGTGAAAATGGAGTGAGTATATTGAAATTATAGAATATGCAAAATATTTCTAATCGACATCGTGGTTCGGTGGTAAGTTTATCGACTTGCTCATACCCTGGGGTCGTCGTGCGTTCGATTCCCCAGTAAAGTTTCGGAAATTTTTCCTCTAATATAATTTGACAATTAATTATTTTAATTGTGAAAAATAATTTTAACATTGATATTTAGAAAAAAAATTGGTCTATTTGCAAAATAATTTTGCAATAATTTATTAATTATTGCAAAATTGCAATGAAGAGGAATTAAATTAAAAATAAATAAATTAAATTTCAAAAAATTGAGTAATTGAACATTAGTTGAATTAGGTTTAATATTAGAATGAATAGCAATTAAATAAAAAGTAAATAATTAATAAATTAACTAAATTGCAAAAAATTAATTAATTAAATTAATAAAGAAATTGAATTAAATTAAATATTTTAATGTATTGACATTAAATTAAAAATAACGAAAGTAAATAACAATAATTGGAATCCTGTGAAATTTTTATTATTTATGAAAATAATTAAATGTTTGCGTACAATTTTATTAAAATTTTCTTTAAATATAATTAATTTCTTTTTGGGAAATTTTATTACTATCTGAAATTTAACTAATATTTATTTTTAGATCAATTTTTATTAGAAAATTTTACGAGACTTCAATTATTTAAATATAAAAGTAAATTATTTATTGAATAATTAAATGTTTCCTAACATTTAATTGTTATAAAGAATTTTATTAACAAATTTTTAAATAATTGAATTCTTTTGTGGAATTTTAATAAAATTTTTTAGAATCCTTTTCAATCCTTTTCAAGGAAGTCGATTAAAATTGTATTAAAAATAATTGAAATTCTGCAATGAGTTTTATTATTTCAGAAAATAATTGAATTATTGAGAAGAAACTTATAAAAAATTTGTAAATATTAATTAAATTTTATTAAAATAGTAGATATTGAAAATCATTAAAATGAAGAAAATTTTTGAAAATAATTGAAATTTTGACAAGAATTTTATTAAAAATTTTGAAAATAATTAAATTTTGAAGAGGAATTTTTGTATTTATAAAGATAATAATTGAAATTTTGTCGAGATTTCTTTTTGTTAATTTTGAACATAATTGAATTTTGTGATAAGAATTTTATTACTTTTGCAAATAATAGAATTTCTGCAATCATTTGCAATTTCTTCGAAACTCAATTTTTTTTAGTGTTTTTAACTAAAATTCTTTTATAAATCTATTATTTTTAATAATTAATTAAATACACATTGACAAATTTAAATAATTTTAGATAATTTTGAATTATTATAATTTTTCAAAAATCTAAGTTCATTAAAATTTCTAATTAAATTCATTCAACATTTAATTTTTATAAAATTTTAAATTGAAATCGTTTGAAGTTTATTTATTTATTAAAATTGTAAACGCAACTCTTTTAAAATTGAATAAATTTTGAAATATTTAAGTAAAATTATTCATTAAATAATTTATTCATTTTATGATAGTTGTTCAAGATTTAAGTAATTTAAAAAGAAATTTTTGTCAGAATTTGAAAAAATTGAATTGCAAAAAATTAATTAATTAAATTATAAAAATAAATAAATTCGTTGAATTGCAAAAAGAGCCAATAATAAATCAAAAATTAGATAAATAACTTTGTGTGTTAAATACGTAATAAATTAACAATAAAAAAATTTGAAAATGAATTTAAAAATATAAGTCCTTAAAAAATAGAAAAAATTAAAAAAAAATTTTGAATCTAAAAGGTGAAATAATATTTTCAGAAATGCACATCGCCGGGAAATTGTACATGTGACGAGGGTTTTGAAATAGTGGAAAACACTAATACCTGTGTTGTTGAATGCAAATGCACTCATGGCACTTGTCAAGGCGATAATGGAACTTGCGTGTGTGATGATGGCTACGAATTGTTAGAAAATGAAAATTCAACTACTTGCATTCCTGTTTGTGATAATGCTTGTATTAATGGTGAATGCATTGCTCCTCAACAGTGTAAATGCCATGACAACTATATCGTCATAAATAATGATTCAACTAACAATAGTCATAATAATAATAATTATACCTGTGTCAGTATTTGTGGCGTTGATTGTATTCATGGTTTATGTAATTCCGAAGAAAAATTATGTGACTGCTATTTTGGCTGGAGTGGAAGAAGCTGTGAAATACCCACTAAATGTGCAGCAATATTTGAGGATGCAATTTCCAGCGAAGTATCAGATAGGTCCGTTGACTATTTTGTTTTTTAATCATAGTGTTTATTTTAATGAATTTTTAATTAATTATTTTTTTTTATTTAATTAAAATTTATAAGTTTTTTCCTAAATTTTTTTTCTCTTGATTTTCTTTATTCTAATATTAATTTTTTAAAATAAATTAAAATTATTAATATTATTAATATTAAATTAATTTAATTTTTATTATTATTATTATTATTATTATTATAAATTATTATTAATTATTATTTTTATTTTATTATTATTTTAATAATTTACAGTTTTAATGATACTGCAAACAAAGAAACTCGAATAGAGACACAATGGAAAGGTCCAATTTGCAATAAAAATTGTTTACACGTCGACGCAAATCAAACGGAATGTTTCAATCAGTCATTAATGTCCGATAACACAACGTCGGTGTTATGTTTTCTAAATATAGGTATTTATAAATAATAATGACTTAATTTATAATTTTTATAATTATTTATAATAATATATTAATAATAATTAGAAAAAAAGTGTAAGAAAATTTTATAAACAATTTTGAATTTAAATTTTGACTTGTGAACTTTGGCTTTAATTAGGTAATTTAATTAATTTCAATTAACAGTAAAGTATATAAAATATTTCTAAACGTTATAAGTAGTAACAGACAATTTTTGTCAGACGTTACTGAGAAAAAAAAACAGTTGGAAAAATAACTGCTAATCAATTTTGTATAAATAAATAAATATTTCTCATTGTTTATGTTTTTTCTTTTAAATAAATAAACTTCAAAAATTAAATCCATTTTGAGATTAAATAATAGAAAAGTAAAGAAAATTCAAAAATTAAATCCATTTTGAGATTAAATAATATCAAAATAAAAAAAAATTCGTAAATTAAATCCATTTTGCGATTAAATAATAGAAAAATAAATAAAATTCAATTTGCGATTATAAATAATTGCAAAAATGGATTTAAATTTTTCAATTGTCAATTAGTAAATAAAGAAGAATTGAATGAAAGAAAATAAATATTGATTTCAATTAAACATTTTCAATAGAAAGCCAATTTATTCTCTCGCATTGTGCATTAATATTTCTTTATGTATTTATTTAGGAAAATAGTTTTTTATTTCTTTCAAAATACGATAATGGTTTCTGAGAAGATTGTTTTCTTCTTTCTTTTTGTTAACGACAGATCTGGACTGTAATTCACTCTCTTTAGAAAACAATAGCTTAAGAAGTGGTTCAATTTTATGGTCCAAAATTCAATACGGAATTTATGTGGTAATTGGATCTGCGATATTAATTGTCATGTTTTTATTCATTCGACGATATAAAGGAAAACACGAATCGATAGGTAAATTAGTTTTCAATTATTTTTCAATAATTTAATTATATTTTCTCCTTGATGAAAAAAGAGAAAAATAATACATATAATATGTTCGTTATATGCATGAAAATTAGTAAAATTTCGATAATAATAAATATTTTCCTTTTTTTAGCCGTTTGTCGATCGGATTCATTTCTCGAGGGTGAAAATTGTCTGATGGAAGAGAATGAGGATAATTTATGATCTATAATAAGTTAATAATTATATTATTATTTTTATTTTTACGATTTCTATTATTATTAGTATTTTTATTATTAGTTTTATTATTTGTTATTAAAGCAAAATGTACTTCGTTGAAATTGACTTATTAAGAGCTAAGAGCGTTGTAATAATTTTATTAATTTTATATAATGAAATATTCTATTGTAAGTTTCAAATAATTTGTATATATATAGTTGAATAAAATAACTTTTTTCTAAAATATTTTCGACATTTAAAAATTGCTTTTTATTTTTTCTTTTCATAAAGTCATTTTAGAATTCATTTTAAAAATTAGTATACAGAATAAAAGAAATAATAATTCAAAATTTTGATTTGAATAAAATTTTAAACACATATTTTTCGTAAGAAAAAAGAATCGAAAATTCTAAGAAGTATGAATTAATTGCAGTCAGACGTTACTGTCAAAAAATTAGTTTTCTTTAATAAAAAAACAAAATCAGGAGAACAAAATAATTTTAATCAGACAGTATTTTCACTTTTCTGTCCATTTTCTTTAGAATAATTGTTTGAGTTTATTTTTCTATTGAACTTTCTCAATTTGGTAAAAATTTTTAGCTGATAATTTTCCCATTGCAAAGAAACTAAAAATATTTAATAAAAAATAGTAAAAAAAATCGATTTTGGTAAGACAATTTCGATTTTTCTTAACATTAAAATAAAAATAAAATTTTATTCCTAAGGAACAACTTTTTTCGAATTTTTAGGAGCAATTTTATATTTAGAGAAAGAAATTCATGGACGTAAATTACATTCACATAATTAACAAAACTTAAGAAAAAAATTAGTAGAACAAAATAATTTTAGTCAGACAGTATTTTCAATTGCTAATGTATTTTTTATAGTAATTTTTTAAATTATTTTTCTTCTAAAATTTCTCAGTTTAGAAAAAATTTAAACAGTAATTTATCCCTAAGCAAGTAAATAAAAAAATTTATTACCAAAAATTCAGATAATAAACAAAAATTAAGATGGAAAAAAATCAATAGTACAAAATAATTTTAGTCAGACAATATTTTCAGTTTACTGTCTATTTTCTATTAAAAATTATTAAAATCAGTAGAAAAAATCGCTTTTCGTCAGACAATTTCAATTTTTTACTTAGTTTCATTCCGCATCCAAAGTAATGTATGCGTTTAAAAATAAAAAAACTATCGTTTTTGGTGACATTAAAGAATAATTTTTTTACTTAACTGATTTAAAATAAAAATCAGTAGAAAAAATCGATTTTGGTCAGGCAATTTCGATTTTTCTTCAATTTTCTTCCTAAAAGTAACAAATTTTTTTCTTTCATTGATGGAAATTTTTTACTCAGAGAAATAAATTGTAGGGTGTAAATTAAATTCACATAATTAATAAAAATTGAAAACTAAGTCAGTGAGAGTAAATTATAGTCAGATAATTAACAAAAATTAATTAAAAACAAAATCAGTAGAACAAAATAATTTTAGTCAGACATTTTATTCAATTTATTGTGTAGTTTTTGACATTAATTGTTTGATTGTGCCTCATCAGAAATTTTTCATTCTGGTAAAAATTGTAATAGAAAATTTTTCCTACTACAGTCATTAAAAAGGTTAAAACACCAAAAGCAGTAAAAAAAATCCATTTTAGTCTGACAATTTGAAAATTTCTTCATTTTCTTCACAGAGTAATAATTTATTCTTATTCTTTATACGAAATTTTATTATTAGAGATTAAAACTATTATTTTGTGGAAGTAAATTACATTCCGATAATTGAGAAAAATTTATTAATAACAAAATCAGTAGAACAAAATAATTTTGGTCAGACAATGATTTCAATTTATTTGCTATTTTCTGTAAAATAATTTTTTAATTACTTATTTCTATTGACATTTTTAACTTTGGTAAAAATTTTAACAGTCAACTTTCTTTACGCAAGTAACTAAGAAAATATAATGTCGAAAACAGTAGAAAAAACGATTTTGGTCAGACAATTTTAATTTTTTGATTATTTTCCATCCAAAGTAACAAATTTTTTCTTTTCTTGAGGAAAATTTTTTACTCACAGTTAGAATAATTAGAATAAGTGGAAAAAATCGATTTTGGTCAGACAATTGTAAGTTTTGTTAATCATTTTCCATCCATAGTAACAAATTTATCTCTTTCTTGCAGCAAAATTTTATACATATAGTAACAAATTATTATTATATGTGAATAAATTACAGTGAAATAATTAAAGAAAATTAATTCAGAAGAAATCAGTAGAACAACTTAATTTTAGTCAGACAATATTTTTAACTGCTAATGTATTTTTTTTAAAATAACTTTTTAATTCTTTTTTTTCTAAAATTTCTCACTTTGAAAAAAATTTTAACACTAAATTATCCTTACGGAAGTAAATAAAAAATTTACTACCGAATATTCTGATAATTTAAAATTAAAAAAAAAAATTAATTGAGAAGAAAATCAGTAGAATAAAATAATTTCAGTCAGACAATGTTTTCAATTTACATTCTTTTTGTTTAGAGTATTTTTTTAGATTATTTTTCTTCAGAAATTTCTCGTTTTGATAAAAATTGTAATAGTCCATTTTCTCTATCTAGTCAAGTAACTAAAAATACAAAAACAGTAGAATAAATCCAATTTTGGTCAGACAGATTCAATTTTTTATTCATTATCCTTTCAAAGTAAAACCTTTTTTCTATGCTTGAAAGAAATTTCATTCTCAGAGAAAGAAATTGTAGGGTGTAAATTACATTCACATAAAAAATAATAATAAAATTCACATGAAAATTAAAAACAAAATCAGTAGAACAAAATAATTTTAGTCAGACAATATTTTCAATGTTTAATGTATTTTTTTACAGTAATGTTTTAATTGTTTTTCTTCTAAAATTTCTCACTTTGATAACAATTACAACATGAAATTATCCTTAAGCAAGTAAAAAAAAATCTACAAGAAAAATTATTCAGATAAGTAACAAAAATTAACGAAGAAAAAAATCAGTAGTACAAAATAATTTTAGTCAGACAACTAAATTTCTAATCAATTTTTTTAACAGTAATTTTTTGTTTCTTTTTCTTCTGAAATTTTTCACTTTAGTAAAATTTTGTAATTGTCAATTTTCTCTTCTCCATTAACTCAAAAGACTTTAAAATAAAGAAAAACAGTAGAAAAAACCGATTTTTGTCAGACAATTAAAATTTTTTATTCATTTTTCATAGAAAGTAATGTTAGTAAAGTGTTTAAAAATAAAACTTTTTTAAAAAATTTAATTAATTTTAAATAAAAAATTCACATTTAAATTAAGAAAAGAATCAGTAAAACAAAATTATTTTTGTCAGACAATATTTTCAATTTTTAATGAATGTTTTTAAAGAAATTACTTAATTGTTTTTCTTCTAAAATTTATCACTTTAATAAAAATTTCAACATGAAATTACAATTTTCCCTATTCAAGCAGAGAGTAAGGATCAAAATTGAAAATAATTAGAATCAGTGGAAAAAATCGATTTTGGTCAGACAATTTTGATTTTTCTTCTAAGTAACGAATTTTTTTCTTTCCTTGAGGGAAATTTGTTACTCAGAGAAAGAAATTGTAGGGTGTGAATTACATTCACATAAGTAATAAAAATTAAAAAAAAGAATCAGTGACACAAAATAATTTTTGTCAGACAATATTTTCAATTTTGAATGTAATTTTTTTATAGTAGTAATTTAATTGTTTTTCTTCTAAAATTTCTCACTTTGATAAAAATTACAGCATTAAATTATCCTTACGCAAGTAAGTAAAAAAATCTACTACAAAAAATTATTCAGATAATTAACAAAAATTAACTAAGAAAAAAATCAGTAGTACAAAATAATTATAGTCAGACAATATTTTTAATTTCTAATCCACTTTTTTTACATCACAGTAAAACGTCAAGTGTTAAAATAACACCAGAATGGATTAAAATAATTTGCAACAGTTTAATCCCTCAAGTATTAAATTAACACCAGAAAGGATTAAAATAATCTATTTTTGTGTTATTTATAACTATGAATAAAATTTTACTTTAAATAAAACACAAAAGTCAACGATTTGTAAAAATTCAACGAATTTAGCTTCTCCAGGGAGAATAGTAAGTTAGTAAGTTAGTTACTAACTTACTAACTAACTTAGTAACATAGTTACTAAATTCAATTGTGTTCAAAAATTTAAAAAAATTCTCGTCAAAATTTCAATTCTCTTTATAAATAATAAAATTCTTCTCTGATATTCAATTATTTTACAAAATTTTAATCAAATTCTTGTCAAAATTTTAATTATTTTCAAAAGTTTTCTAAAATTCAATAATTTTCAATATCTACTATTTCAATAAAATTTTTCAAAAGAATTCCATTATTAAAAAAAATTTGAATAAAATTCTACGCAAACATTCAATTATTTTCATAAATAATAAAATTTTTTACAGGAATTCAATTATTTACAAATTTTTTTATAAATTTCTACGCAATAATTAAATTATTTTCATAAATAATAATATTTTTGCAGGGATTCAATTATTTTTATAAATAATAAAATTCTTTTAAAAAATCAATTATTTTCATAAATAATGAAACTCATTGCAGAATTTCAATTATTTTTAATGCAATTTTAATCGGATTCCTGGAAAAATGTAATTATTCTTAAAAATTTTATTAAAATTCGTCCAAAAAATTTAATGATTTAAAAAATTTGTTGATAACATTTTTTATGAGAATTAAATTTCAAGAAACATGAAATTTGTAAATAACTCATTATTGTATTTAAATAATTGAATTCTCGTAGAATTTACTAATAAAAATGGTTTTAAAAATGAATTTCAGTTAAAATTTTAGATTATAATTACATATTAAAAGCATTATAACGTGGATTTTTGGAAATCATTAAATTTTGAAAAAGTTTCAAACTAAAATTATTGACATTCTTAATTTTTCATATTTTTTACAAAAAATTCTGTAAATTCTTTTTAAAAGTTTAATAGAATTTTTATTAAAATTATTTCAAGTTTTTATTTTTCAATTTAATATTTAATTGCAGTATTTCCGAATAATTGAAATTTCGTAAAATTGAATTGTAGACGAATGAAGTTGAAAATTCTCATAAAACTCATCGCAGCGTTTCAATTATTTTTCATACAATTATAATTGAATTCTTTGAAAAAAGTAATTATGTTCATACAAGTTTGAATAAAATTCGACAAAGAAATTCAATTATTTAAAAATCTAATATAAATTGATTTTCATTTCATAAAAATGAATTTCAGTTAAAATTTTAGATTATAATTTAATATTAAAAGCAATATAGCGTGAAGTTCTAGAAATAATTGAATTTTGAAATTAATTTTTATGAAAAAGTTTAATTGAATTTTCTTTTACATTATTTGGAAGGTTTTATTTTCTAATATGCATTTAATTAAAGAATTTAGGAATAATTGAAATTTCGTGAAATTGAATATTGTAAACAAATGGATTTGAAAATTGGCAAAGAACTTTTTCGAAAATTATTAAAAATAATAGATATAAAGTGAAATTGTAGTTGAAAATTTTTGAAAATAATAATTGAATTGAAATAATGAAAATAATTTTGAAGAAGTACAATATTCTTTTAATATAAAATAATGATTTTATTACTTGGTCATCTTTAATTATTATAAAACATGAAGAAATCGATCACTCCGAGTCGAATCACTCCGAACTCGGAGTTATCAATATCTTCATGTTTTATAGTTATAAAAAAATTTAATGAACTAAAATTTCATTCATTGTAAAAAAATAACACCAAAATTGATTATTTTAATCTTTTTTTGGTGTTAATTTAATCTGCAACTCTTTTTTAATACCTCACGATTTACTGTGATAGTAATTATTTAATGGTTTTTTCCAAAACGAAACCAGTAGTAAAAGTCACTGCACAGTCAGACATGTGTCACATTTTTTTTCTCTCTCTTTCAAATTTTAAAAATTGAAAACAAAAAAAAATTTTTTAAATGACGCAAAAAGAGTTTTGCATTTATTTGACGTGCGAAGGCGCTGCATGGAGTTTGACACCAGATATATACACATATATACATATTGAAAAGCGCAATGAGTTGTGCGCACGTGGTGGGGAGGGGTGGTAGGGGTAAGATGTCGATGCGCCGCCGGTGGCCGGTTTCGGGGGTTGACTCGCGCCGTGGGGGCGATGAGCGTACTTCTCTTTGCCCTGAGACTGACCTGCTGCTGTTTCCTGGCTTGCATCGTCTTCCACCCATCCTGCGGCCTGCCGGATCAGGAGCAGGTCCATTATCTACAGCATCATCATCGACGCATTATCAATAATAATGGGAATAATGACGCCTCATCATTATTGTCGGGGATCCTGGCCGACGTTAATGTCTATGAAAACAACAATGACGATCATGACGACGATGACGAGGTCGATGAGAATATCCTCACAGGAAACATTACGGCAGGTTCGTGAAATTCTTTTCTTTCTTTCCAATTGCGTATAATTTTTTTTGTCTTTCTCTAAATTTAAAATTTAAGGTTTTTTTTCTCTTTTTTCTCCTTTTCTCCGTTCTGGGTAATTTTTCTCCTCGTTTGGAAATTTTACTTGCAATTTTAATTTTCATTACCTAATTTCAGCGAAGATTTGGTTTTAAGTGTTTTTTTTTATTTTTTTTCTTTCCTTCTGAGATTTTTGTTTCTGTTTTTTGGTTTTTGCTTCTTTGCTTCTTTTCCGTTTATCGTTCCTTTTTACCTTTTGCTTCTTTTTATTTTCTATTTTCGGTTTTTTGTTTCTTTTCGTATTTTGTTTCTTTCTGTATTTTGCTTCTTATTGTTTTATTGCCTATTTTTGTTTTTTTACTCGTTTTTGTTTTTTTGTTTTTCTTTGCCTCCTTGTATTATAATTTTCTTAGGTTTTTTATTTTCATTTTCTATTTTTATTTCTCTTTTCAATTATTTTTTGTAATTATTGCATTTCTTTCACTTATTACTTTTCTAATTTAATTTTCCCCCTTTTTTCACTTAATTTAGTTAGATTTAATTTCAAAAAAATATAATCTTATTTTTTTTGCCTAAAGAATTATTAGTTATTTATTATTTTTTATTTTAAAAAATAATGACGAATAATTGGTACACATTTTTTACTAAAATAAATTAAATTCTCCAGTTTAATTTAATTAAAATTTTATTACCCTATTTTTGTTACATAGAATTTAGAAACTATTAAGTAAATGAAAAAATTTACATATTTTTTAGTATTAAAACGAGAGGAATTAACAAAAAAATAAATAAATAATAAAAACTGTATTGTTTATAAAAAACACAATAGACAATGAAAATTCTATTGATTATAGAAATAAATAATAATAATTGATGTGATTTTAAAAAAAGTATTTAATGAAAACTGTATTGATTATAAAAAAATAATCGTTAAAAATTGCATTTACCTATAAAACAAGAGTAAATATGGAAAATTGTAATAATTATAAAAAAATAAATAAAAATTCTGTTAATTGTCAAGAAAAGAATAAATATTAAAAATTGTATTGATTGTTAAAAAGAAATAATAAAAATTGTGGATATCGTAAAAAATTTTTCTAATCATAAAAGAAGAATAAATAAGGAAAATTGTAATAATTACAAAAAAGTTAATAAAAATTGGGTTAAGTTTTAAGAAAAGAATAAATATTAAAAATTGTATTGATTGTTAAAAAGAAATAATAAAAATTGTGGATATTGTAAAAAATTTTTCTGATTATAAAACAAAAATAAATAAGGAAAATTGTAATTATTACAAAAAAGTAAATAAAAATTGGGTTAACTTTCAAGAAAAGAATAAATATTAAAAACTGTATTGATTATAAAAAATAAATAATAAAAATTGTAGTGAATATAAAAAAACAAGAATTTAACTAATTATATAAAAAAAAAGATTATAAAACAAGAATAAATAAGGAAAATTATAATAATTATGAAAAAAGTAAATGAAAATAGTGTTGATTTTCAAAAACATAATAAATATTAAAAATTTAATTGATTTTAAAAAACAAAAGAAAACTTTTTTTAATTATAAAAAAAAATATAAGAATTGAACTGATGATAAAAAAATAAATCACAAAAATCATTGATAATAAAAAAAATAAATTAAATTGTATCGATTACAAAAGATAATAAAAATTGTGGTGATTATAAAAAATAAATAAAACAAAACTTGTCCCAATTATTCAAAAAAGAAATAAATAATAAAAATTCTGTCAATGCAAAATGCATATATGCAAAAAAATAGCATAATTTTTATTTAAAAAAAAATTAATAATAAAAAATAATAAATAATAAAAATAATAGAAAAAAATAAAAATTGTATTGATTTTACATTTTTTTTTTTTTTTTGCTAAAAGGTGAACATTTCCTCGGGAGAAAACATTGAGAGGGGAGAAAGTGCATTACCCTGAGTTTTGTGAGATGTTTGCGTGAGAGTATAATATATACATGATATACGTAAGCAAAGTTACTAGGCGTAAAGTGAAATACAAAACGTGTCAACAGATCGGATTATAACTAGCGATTTTCTTGTGTAGCATTTAATGTACATAGTGTATTATTATATATGTATATAAATGCATGTGCATAGAGACGAGGAAAAGAAATTTGTGAGCTGATGAATATAATTGTTAACCTCAGATTTCATACGACCCCCTCGAATAGAAGAATCGATAAGGGTCCTCACACCCTCGTCTTACCGCGTGTTTATTCCCTTTAAAAGAAGGTTTCACGAAAATAGTCAATTCATTCTTCTTAATTCGCTGAAATGGGAGAAATTTAACCTCTTTTTCTTGCAAATTTTTTTTTTCATTTATTAGAATTTTTTTTTGGTTCAATTTTTTTTTTTAAATTTTATTTATTAAAATTTTATTTATTTCAACTTTAGTTTTTTAATTTTTATTGTTTTTAAAATTTTTTCTATTTCAATTTCAGTTTTTCAATTTTTATTTATTTCAGTTTCATTCTTCAATTTTTTTTCTAATTTTATTTATTTCAATTTCAGTTCTTCAAATTTTTTTAAAATTTTCTTTAATTCGCTTTAAGTTTCTCAATTTTTGCTGAATTTCAATTATTTCAATTTTATTTACTTCAATTTCATTTTTTTCAATTTTATTTATTAAAATTGTATTTATTTCAATTTTCTTCATGTCAATTTTATTTAGTAAAACCGTTTCTATTTCAATTTCAGTTCTTCAATTTTTTTATAACTTTTAATTTATTTCAATTTCAGTTCTTCGTTATTTTTAAATTTTACATATTTCAGTTTTAGTTTTTCAATTTTTTTCTTAATTAATAATTATATTTACTTTAATATTAGTTTCTAAAATTTTTTTAATTTCATTTATTTCAATTTCAGTTTTTCCAATTTCATTTATTTAATTTATTTGTTTATTAATAAAATTTATTTAAAATTTAAATGAAATTGAAAATACGGAAATTGAAATAAATAAATTTAAAAAAAATCTAGAAATTTATATTGAAATAAATATAATTAAAAAAAAATAACAATTGAAGAACTGAAACTAATAAATGAAATAAATAAATATAAATAAGTAAAATTGAAGTAAATAAAATTGAAATTTTATTTACTTCAATTTTATTTATTTCAACTTTAGTTCATCAATTTTTTAAAAATTTTATTTATTTCAAAATTTCAGTTTCTTAATTTTTTTTTTTAATTTCATTTATTTCAATTTTATTTATTACAATTTCGCGAATTATTATTTGCAAAATCCGACTAATTGGATGTAAACTCTACGAGTGTTTATTTGTCGCGCAAAATTACTGCGTCAACGATTAGTTACTCGTATTACATCACGTGGCTAATTATCATCAACTTGGAAAATTAATTTATTACTGAAATTTCGAAATTAATTAATTAACTGAATTAATTATAAAACTAAGATTTTTATTAATTTCAACCAAAAATAGAACTAAGAACGCACTTCAAATGCATTTAATAAAAGTTTTAAAAAAATTTTTGATTCTCAATCGTACTAAATTGGGTATTAGAGTAATAACTTTTAGTCTTTATTTTCTATTCAATATTTTAAGAAGATTGAAAAATTGTTAAAATTTGCTTACTTTCATTTTGTTTTTTCTCTTTTTTTTGCAATAATGTTAAGGAAGAAAATAATGTCTGGTATTTTTTCTTCGCCAATAAATCTGAGCAAGCTCATTTCATTCAAGCCATATTATTCCGATATCTTAGACCTACTTGGCTCGACTTGAAATTGACGTTGAAATTTACAATATCAGAAAAATTTATAAATTCAAGTTAATACTTATTGACGTTATGAATTTATTCCACGAAGTAGAAAATTCAGATAAAATCTTTATCTCAATATTTTTCTTTTTTTTTTTTTGAAAAAAACTTCATTTGATAACTTTCTATTAATATTTGTTGAAACTAATTTTTATAATAATTTATAATAATTTAGTTGTGTAATATTTTTTATATAATATTTGGAATAAATTATTACACAAATGATTAAATTTTTATTTTATGATTATTAGTATTTATTTATTTATTTCTAAATTATTTATGGGCGTCTTATTAAACTCTGTAGAAAATAATTATTTTATTCAAATAAACAATTAGTTGTCAATTCTCAAATAAATATTTATTTCTAATAAATAATTTTTATCTCAAGTCAATTAGGTATTTACTCGAATAGGTATTTACAATTAGGTATTTACTCACTGGTTAAAATACTGAAACTATTGGTTCCAATATAATTTGTCTGATTGAAATAAAAATTATTTAATTCAAGGAAAAAATATTTGATTCAAGGAAATATTTATTTATTTTCAAGGAAATTATTTATTTATTAGCAATTGGTTCAAATACAATATATCTGCCTTAAGTAAAAATTATTTGTCACAAAGAAAAATTATTTGATTCAAGTAAATATTTATTTAATAATAGACAACCAATTATGATTGTATTTGAATCTAAAACATTTTTTTCAATGATCATTATTTTTTATTTTCTTTATTGAAATAATTAAAATTAACTAATAACAATAATCAGTATAATAACTAATAATATCAATAGTAAGAAAAATTATTAACAGAAAAATAATTAACAGTAATTAAAAGACAGTAATTTAATAATAGTTAAAATTTGAAAGATAAAACACAGTAAACATTAAAACGAGCACTTCATATGTTGATATGAATGTGAGATAGAATGTTTAAGACAAGTTAATACTTGATATATAACTGGAATTTAAATTCTCCCAGGTATAGATAGATCAGATTATAATTAGTCGATTATTTTCCGTAATCTAAGATCTTTGAAGGTCAGAAAACTATGTCGATCAATGTAAAATTAGACAATGTGTTATTTCTCTTAAATTAAAGTACTCGAATAATCAGAGAAACATATATAGAATAATTTTTTTTTCCTATTAAAAAAGAA